GGGCTAAAGCCGAGCGAACTTCGAAGTCGGACAGGTCGACAAAGTATGCGCGAATGAGCGATAAATTTGTGCGACTCAGGAGCGAGATAATAAGGACAATATCGCGATATAAATAGGACGGACGCAACTGAGAAGACCGTTTCTCCGAAATACTTTAAGTAACGTAGATACTAATTTCTCGATAAGTAAAAAACTTCTTTTGCACATCATTATAAAAGCGCGAAAGTAAAGTTACGCGCGTAATATGTGCGACAATTGTTTTGTGCATCTTTTTTCTTTTTTTTTCTTTTTTTTTATTTAAAACCTTGAGGTAATTTTTTAAATTGAGATTTGATAAGGCGGAAAAAGCGCTCTCGAGAACAGTTCTAGAAAAATTATTATATCCGAATGTATACGTATATATATAATAATTGAGAAAGTTCCTCTAAGAATTTTACTTAGAAATTTATGAGAGAGTAGAAGTTTCTCTCTCAAGTCTTTGACAAACTATGTGTTTTTTTTTTCCTTTTTCTTGAGAACGGAAGGACGGAAGGTACGTTACATCCAAGAGCGTAAAGAGCGAGACGGTTCACGGGAACAATTTTTGCGTCAAGTTATAAATTACGTATTTTGTTAATGAATTTTATGCATCAGATAAACAGTTTACATTAATAAGTTGTTGATAGATCGGTAAACATGTTACTTTCCGGCTTGCGCAGCTCGGAACTTTCCCAACTTCTATCCCGACCCAATTTCCATCCCTTCCTCGTTGCAGCAGCCGTCCGAGGTGATCCATGATAAGTCCACTCCGGCATTAACCACTCCCTCCCTCCCCTTCCCCATTCCCAACTCTATCCATCCCTCGACCGATCCACTTTACTCTTGCCACCAGTACCGGAAGTAATTTCAGCCGTTACATCAACCTATATATATACGTAAGCTGAACTACTACTCGGTAAAAGATTACGTTCCGTAGATATTCCTGAGGTTTATAGCCTCGGCACTCGATATGGCGTTACCGATTTTTTAATTGAATGCGTTTCAATGCGGCTTGTATACAATTTTTTTTTTCTCCAAATTAATTCTGAATTTTAAATTGCTCCCGTTTGTTAGAAATAAATTCCAGAAATTTACCGGAAAATACGGGAAACTAACCGTAGTCGGGGATCTCTCTTTTCTCTTCTCTTCTCGTTTTTCTTATATTTACCGATAATTCTCGCCGCGTGATCGAGGATTACGAGAGGCCCTCGTAAAAATTCCACCGTCGTAAGTCCGTAAGTTAAAACCCACCTTGCGAAATGAGAGGCGAGTTATTCGACGTCGTTTATTTCTGTCTCGCCGACGCCAATTGCGTTTTAAGTATTCCGCTGGAAAAGCACGACTATATTAGTTATCGATATGCTTGTATTCAATCAAACCGTGTCCCAGTTTTCGCCGGGCGCATTTTTCCGCTAAAAATCCTGTCTAAAATTGATGTTCTCAGTTTAGAAACGTCGACGGGGTAGAACGCGAAAATGTGAAACGAATAAACGTGAAAAATGAATAATTGCGCGAAAAATCTATTTTTAAAATTTTTGTTTTCCGCGAATCTCGAGAGTGAAACAGCGCCTGTGTATTTTTATCGCGAAAATAACACGCGTATACAATTTTCTCTTTAAACGTGCATTATATAACACATCCATAAAAGTACAACTATATATAGTATCTACTATATATATATATATAGTATTCGTTCTCTTCGGCGAGAACCAACTTTACATTGTGACAGGAGGGCACAAGCCGTTTAGAATGCGTCGCGGTGCGCCGTTTTATTCAGCCGAGGAAAGCGCAGCGATGTCCGGGAAAAGTGCTGGAAAGTTCACAAACCCCTGCGTAACTTCCGGGACAAATTTTCCCCCGAGTTTATACCGGCTTTTTCCGTTGAAAGACGGATTTCAAAAAGCGATAAATCGCATCCCGGCTGCGTCCGGCGCTCGTCGGCTGTGATCGTTCATTGATTTTGACCCCCTTCCCCGTTTGGGAGGTCGGACACGATCCCTCCATTACTAATCTCCATCACTAATCCTCCTCTCTATTTCTAATCCTTCATTACCTCTTTCATTACATGTCACTCTTTTTATTTCTCTCTCTCTCTCTTTCTCTCCCTTCTTTCTTTTCATCGTTTTCTTCACATGCGAATGAATCGCATTCTCTTGTTCGAGCGCGTGTTACAACACGCTTTTGCTTCAAAATCTTTGAAAAGCGGGCTTTAATAAATCATCCGATACTTTGCAATTAGGATTATTTCGACGTACAGTCATCCACGTTATATATTCGACGCGATCCGAACTGTAAAGAGTGTTAGAGAGATAATGGAGAGGGCGCATTGATCCTTGGGGACGGGATGAGAAATCGAGCGAAATTGAATTCGCCAATGGGGTAAGCCAACTCGCCGAGCTTCAGTCGGGATATAAGCTTTTCGTGGGATAAGAAGCTTTTAACGGTAACACGAGAACACAGCGAAAGCCACAAAAGTAAACACAAATTTATATCTGCCCCCAGAGAGAGAGAGAGAGAGAGAGAGAGATGTTTACGGGGGATCAGAAAATTTGACGAAGCGCCCAAAAACTTACAACCCGTTTCGCCGGCGAGACAAGAAGCAGCAAAAACTTTTGACATTGTCGAGACATTGTGTGCTTTTGAGATTAAATAAGTTTTTTTTTTCATAATTTTGTAAGATTTTAACACAAAAATTTAACTTTCGATTATTATTACGAAATAAAATTTAATTTTATTTATTAACTTTTAATTATTATTATTTGCTTAATTGTAAGCACAGAGAAATACTGAATTTTATATTTATGAATGAATATCTGAAAACCTACTCTCTCTGTCAATTGTTATTATAGCGTTATGTTATTATTTGAGATAATAGCACATATAATGGATTTGCGGAAAAGCGAAGATGATCCGTCAGTTTATCGGAGGTTTACCGGGGGACTGTGCGAAATTCGACGACGTGCGTAATCCTATATACAAGGTTTTGGGGTGAACGAGGGTAGGAATTGCAAGGCGACGGATCCGCCACAGAGTAAGTCACACAAGTCACAAAACTCCACACGGGAAACCCAATATCGTCTTCGATTCACCAGGAAAATATCGAGAATTATCTCGAGATCCCGAACGAAAAGGACAGTTTTCTCGTCGTTTCGTCCGCACAAAGCGTGTCTCCCCGTTTAAAGGGTATTTCGTGCCGTTTCTTCGCTGGAAAAAATTCCGTCACGGAACGCACAATTGAACGCACTCGAGAAACAGATTTGCGCTCGTTGACCGGATTTCGATTTTCGCTAATTAAAACACACGTTAAAATAAAAATCCTCAATCTCTCGGTTGATCGATTTTTCGCGAACGAGTTTCGAATATCTACAACCGAATTTTTATTCTTTTTTTTTTTTTTTTTTTTTTTTTTTTGCGATAAAATAAAATGTAACGCCTGTTGTTGTGGACGAGAAACAACGAAAACGAGTGCATCATTCGTCATTGGTCGAAATGTCCGCGATATATCGATCATCCCTAGATGGAGAAGATAAATGTGGTCGTCCGACATTATTTATGNCAGATTTGCGCTCGTTGACCGGATTTCGATTTTCGCTAATTAAAACACACGTTAAAATAAAAATCCTCAATCTCTCGGTTGATCGATTTTTCGCGGATCTTTTTAAAATATCTACAACCGCATTTCAATTTTTTTTTTTTTTTTTTTTTTTTTTTTTTTGCGATGAAATACGATATAACGCCCGTTGTCGTCGACGAGAAACAACGACAACGAGTGCATCATTCGTCATTGGTCGAAATGTCCGCGATATATCGATCATCCCTAGATGGAGAAGATAAATGTGGTCGTCCGACATTATTTATGCATTTGAAAGCTCGCTGCAGTTTTATGTATGAATTTCCATGTTATACGCATATTATGATTATGCATTATCGGAATCTTTCGTATTATCACATAAATGATGTATTTTAAAATATTCAGTTACGTCGCGCTTTACACACACACACACACACACACACACATACATTTCCTCGGATGATTACGAGAATAAAAAAATAATGAGAGACCATACACACGAGACTAACTGTTCCTCGTTCGATATACAGTACGTGTAATATCTGCGCGAAAAAAAAAACGATGTGTGAATTAATTCATAAACAAATATTTTAAACATTTTGTGTGTGCCGCAGCCACGTGTAGGATGTAATTCCACATTCTCCAATACGCACTCCATCTGAGTTAATTTCACTTTGCTGTTTCACTTTCGCGCTAGGAAAGAAAGCGAGTTGTTTGCAAGTGGTGCGAGTCGGCATGTGGTCAGACACGGAGCACGGAATTAGCCTAAGAGAAGCGAGCGACTATAATTCATGAGGCCAATCGATAGCAAAGCCGCGTGCAGCGCGAGAATGTGAGCTGTCCGTCGCGTTTATCGTTCGCGTTTAAAGTCCTGTTTAGGTCGATTTTCGTGATAATCGCAGATGTACATATCAATCAGTCACGCGCTTCTAATAACGCTCTCGATCAATCACTTTTCATTAAGCCTTTGTTGGCCAATCTATTTTCTACAATACACACACACACACACACACACATACACGTAAATGGACGATTTTACATTGTTTTAAATTGGAACTCAATCCCGAAGAAATTGATACAAAATGAATGTGCTCTTTCAACAAAATAAACTCAATATTTAACTTTAATATTTAACGTAGAACGTTTCGATCTACATCGTGAAATCGTTTGATTAATGTTTCGAATGAAATATTGAACGTGAACATCGGTTTTGTGTGATAACAAAAAAATGTACTTTAGAATCTTCGCAATCTCGTGTTGACCGGCTGTGAATATATTTTTGCGGTACTCAATATGTCGCATTGTGTTTTATTTTAAATCGAAAAAATCCTCTATCTGTGTCTGACTCGGCGCGCAAGTCGGCTCGCCACTTATTTCGTTAAAAGAACGTGCCCCGACACTATTGAAGTAGCAAGACGCGATTTTCTGGTTTCAGCGGAGGCAGGAATCGCGGCTGCGGCGGAGATGAAGCAGCCGGAGGAGCGAACAGAGGAGGAGAAAATGGCGCTGTTGGGCAGACCTCGGTTGGGCGAGGTTTCCCGGGCACAGATAAGGATCAAAGAGTCCAAGGAGTTCAAGAACACCGTGGATAAGCTCGTACAGCGAGCAAACGCCTCCATAATACTCGGTGAGTTCTTAGGGTAAATCCTTTCTTTGGACGCATGTCGGTATAAAGAATATCTCTGCACACACGGGGACTCATAAAACGTCGAGCGCGATCTATTTACAACGTGTTGAAAGAGTAAAAAATTCAAAAAAAAAAAAAAAAAAAAAAAAACAATTGTTAAAAATTTGAAGAAGTCACAAACACAGAAGTCGGAACACGGCAGAAAGTTTTTGTTCTCATTTATTTACGGTGTCTTCTTTTTTTCAAATAAAAAGTTTGTTTTATTTGGAGTGGCATTGTTTAGTACTTCTGAAATGCGATACAGTGTTTCACAACTGCCGTGTTGTAAAAAAAAAAACGTGAGACGGGAAATTTCGTGCATCGCGAGATTTCCCTTCGTCAACTTCGTAAATTTATTTATCGAACGGCAAGAGAGCCGTTCCTCTAACCTAACCCGACCTAACCCGACTCTCCCGATGGGGGACAAAATGCGCATCGCGGGATTCGCTAGCATCTAGATTGGGGACTCTTCAGAAATGCAACCCTGAGGAATGCGGCGTTATGTGCAGGCTCGTGAAATTCAAGACTCCCTGGACGCCATATGCATGATTCTCACGTTTCTGCATTTCCTGCATCCTTCCACTTGCGCGTTCTCCATCTTTCTTTTTTTTTTTCTTTCTCTCTTCTTCTCTCTCGCTGCAGTTTCACATACCGTCGTACTTTATATACATATATTTTTTTTTTCATATTCCTTCTTTTCTCGCGCAGTCTTTTCTGTGATGTGTGTGCGTGTATATCAAGTTAGATATACAAATTACACAACACCTCGACAGTTGAAATCCGGTGAAATATATCAAACAAAATTGTTATTTCAAAATTATAAACTATAAACATTTCGCGATCTCGCAAATTATGCGATCGTATACGATCAGATTGCGTGCTATTGTACGCTCAGAAAGTTTTTTGCCACAACATCGAACAAAATCCCTCGACGACCACGCCATTGCCACTTCTCGCTATGAATACCGTAAATTTCCAATGGAAGCCTCGAAAATGACACCCTGCGCCGGATTCGCTTTCGATATCGACACCGAACATAGAAGACAATAGAAAACACGAAGCTATCTGAAGCTATCACTTACAGCACGCGGAGAATCGCTTTGTTCGTTTCCTCCTCCGTGCTACTTGGAGGCTTCCTTTTCCTCACAGCAGGAAACTGTTTCGTGTGCTTTTCGTTTCGTGAAAGCATCCTTCTCTCTCTCTCTTCTTCCTTCCCGCCGCTTTTCCAAAAGCTTCTCTTTGGCGAAAGCTCCGATGAAATCGAACTTGCAAAAATCAACGATAGCTTTTGTGCGCGGAGAGAGTCTTCGTAACGCAGTTTACGCTTTTTTTCATAAAGAGAGAAAGAAAAATTTGTTGTATCTAGTTTCGCGCGTTTCTTCTTCAAACGAACAATGTCGTTCAGGGTTTTCTCGAAACTAATTGCGTAACGCACAGTGAGGGTGTTATTGTTTTTTTTTTTTTTTTTGTAAAAATGTTTCGCAATTATAATTTCGCAGAAACGAATTTTTCGAATATATTTTGTACAAAAAAATATTCCGCAAATGTCACATAAACATTTAGGTAAATGCCTGAAATAAATTGCGCATCATAAATCAAAAAAACGATGTAAGCAAACATTGGACTGTGTCGGTCGCGATTTATATCGTGTATCGGCGCGCAAAGTCGATAGCGGGAAGCATTGCATTGCTCTATTATAGTGCGCTTTTCATTGTTCGGGCTTTCCTTTCTGCATTTTCTGCTTTCGCTCGCCCCCGTGAAGCGGAATCGCTCAAAGCGTTTTTTCGACTTTTGCCCAACGTCGATGAAAGCGCTTCATTTGCTCGTTCGACATCCCCGCGGGAGGAAGAGTCAAGTGTGCCACTTTATGCCGACACTTTTCGTTAAACAGCACGATATTGACCTTCCACCGGAGAAAACGTGAAGATAAAAGTCTTCGTTTCCTTTTTACAAAACTTATTGTTTTTTTTTTGTTTTTCTTTTCACAGCACGATATTGATTTCCACTGGAGAAACGAAGATAAAATTTTTTGTTTCCTTTTACAGAAAACTTTTTGTGTTTTTTTTTCGTTTAATCAACTTTCCGTAAAATCACTGATACATTAAAGCTCCGGTAATTTTGAGCGCACGGAACCGATTTTTTCTCGATTCTTTGAAATTATTTTCTTTTCCTTTCAGCAAAACCGACCGACTGGTAGCAAGAGACGAAAGATATATGTTTCTCTTTCTCTTTGTTAGATTCTTAGAGCGGGGATAGACGCGCATTCTACGCGAGTTGCGCAGTCACTCAAGAATCGGGAAATCATTTAATAGCGAGGAAACTATTTGCTCGCTCATAAAAGAGAAGTCGAAATTGTGATGCTTGAAGTTACCGAAGTTCTACTGTACAGACGTTTTCTCTGTTCGCCTCTCTCTCTCTCTCTCTCTCTTTTTGCTCTCTTCTTTCCTTTTGATGTGCAAATTTTGAAATATTGCTCTCAGGCACAAGCTCCTGGAAAGAACAATTTACGGAAGCACTGACCGTCAGCGGGGGCGATGAAGACGACGCGGAGAATGGTCAACCCTCCTCGCCATCGATGATGGATTATCTCATGCATTCACTTACCATCTTCTGGAAGGTTCTTTTCGCTTTTGTCCCACCCACCGGTAAGTGGCAATCTCTTCTGCATGCCGTCCAATATTCTCACGCACACACAACTCTTTATATTAATTAAAAACCTCAAACTCTTTTTTACTTTACTAACACAACACAGGCGCGCGCTACGCGCACGCTATTGTTATTTTTATTTAACGTGTTGTCAGTGAACACAACCTGTCACCGCGATGACAGATAGTATATACGTCTTATAAACCATATAATACACATATGAAAAATGTCAGAAATAACGTATGAAAATCAAACTCAAAAAATAGTGAGAGAGAAGTGAAAAAACAACACGTGACTAAAGTCACGTAACAGGGAAAAGGGTAAAAAAGAGAATATTATATATATTATATGTAATATTCTATGTAATATTATATGTAATATCTATATATAATACATACACATACTCATATATGTATATATATATATAAATATATATACAGTCATCACGTGAAGTCAGTAACACCGCCGCGGTCGCGCGGCCGAGGTCAGTGCCCTGTCAAGGCCGCGCGGCCGAGGTCAGTGACTTCCCCCCACCAAGACCGCGCGCCCGCGGTCAATGACCCTCCCCCCACCAAGGCCGCGCGGCCGAGGTCAATGCCCCGTCAAGGCCGCGCGGCCGAGGTCACTGACCCTGCCAAAATCGCGCGGCGGAGGTCAGTGACATTACTCTGTAGTATGTATATAATACATATAATGCAATATAAAGTATAATATTATAAATATATAATAAATTATATTTATAATATGTATTATTTAATATTATATATAATATAAATACAGTCCCGTTATTTTCACGTGTTGTTTTTCTACTCTTTCCTGTCTCTCTCTCACGTGTATTTAGTTACGTTTTTAATTTTCTCTACATATACGACGAACTGTCTCAAAATCGCTTTTCATTATTTACTCTCTCGATCTTACCGATTTGATTCGACTCGATCAACCAACCAACCAATCGGCAACGCGGAAAAGAGGCAACAATAGGTGCGATATATTCGACTCCAAACGCGCACTTCTCGGTCCAAATGCCTTTTTTAATATAGGAGGACGTAGTTACGTGTGTGGCTTGTTTATATATATGTACAAATAAGTTTGTATTTTGTCTCGTGGCGAAATTACGATGAAAATACACGGTTGTTTGCTATCGCCGAAACGATTTTACAAAGTCGATAAACGTCGTTGGTTCGCGCAAAAAAGCGTTTTCACCGCTCGTCCGTGAGGTAATAATTTGCTCGCAAATGCGAACAGCGGTCGCAATCTTACGTGGTAACGACATCGACTGACACGAAATTGCGATCGGCTTTGACGCGATAGAGGAGCAAAGTGAATTTCGATCGGTATGTGTCACCGTGGCGTTTATGACGGCGCGTGCAATCTTCGGAAAGCGGAAAGCGCGCACTTCTCCGAGTGTTTCGGACGTATTCAGACAGGTATTTTTTAATATAATATATATTTCTCAGAAAAGAGAGAGTAAACATGTATATATATATATATATATATATATAAGAGACTTCATTCAAGCTCAGCAGGGACAAATCGAAATTGTATAAGTTATTATTCCGGTGCCTGGTACTTATAAAGGACGCGGTTAAAAAAATTCTCTTGTTGTTTTTGTCCAATTTCATTTCGCGGAGGGTTCTCAGATTCTTTCCATGCTTTTCGCTTCAAAAGTTTTAATTCCTTTCTGACTCTTTCTTCCTGTTTTACTTGTTTTTCGAGAGCCGGAGAAAGGGTTTTTCTGCATCCTTTAGTCGCGGCGTCGCCTCCATTGGGTGGAAGAAAACGAGGAAAGACGGCAAGGGATGAACGGGTGGGAGAGGGGCGCGAGAGGGGAACGAGGGAGGGAGGACGTGCTTTATTTCAGCGAGCACAATCGCAAAAGCCCGCTGAACTGGCAAAAGCTCGGGGAAACTACTGTATCGAGCAGCGTAGTAGTTTCATCTTGTTTATCTCCCTTTTCCTGTCTCCTTTCTCCTTTCGCTGTCCTTATAAGTCAACGCTTCGTTACAAGATGCAAAAGCGTGTTTACCACTCTCGTCTCGCGAAGAGGAAGGCTCGGACAGTCAGAAGTTGTCAGAGATGATCGAGGAAAGCTTTTCGGCGGACGGAGTTGAGCGAAGTTTACGAACAATCAGTGAAAGAAATAGTTTTACACGAGTATGCGAGTAAATACACAAACGTTAGAACGGTCATATTCGCGTTTGCGCGAACAATATTCTGTTCCTCGAACAATGTTCGCGCTCAATTCGAGCTTCAGGATTCTCGAGAAAAATGTTCAACGAATAACGTGGAATATAATACGTGGAATTTATATAAATAACTTCATTTGCAGACACGGGTCTCCCAGATCCACCCTCTCAAAAGTTGCGCATCGGCGTTTCTAGAAAAATTAGTTTTTTTTTTTAACATTTATATCTTCGAAACTACCATTTTTTCAATTTGTTTTTTTTTTATGGAGAATCGTTCAACTTTTTGATTCAAAAAAACAAAATTGAAAAAATATTTATTTTTCGCGGAGATATTTGATTTTAAAGTCGCGTGGGTCTCACAGACCCAATCTGTCTCACTCGTGTGTCAGTTTTGAGGTTTGCAGGCGAAGAGATAAAGATAACAAGAAATGTGAGAGATTTATATACGTGTGTGTCACACACCGGGTTTTAAATAAATAAATCTGACCGCTTGCATCATTTAATCGAGGTATCCAAATCCTAAATTTATGCAATCGCACACAAGTGATGCAACTGCGACATGCTGCGATACAACGAGGCATTGTGCGATTCATGAATATGTCAGTTTTCTAAACAAACATCTTGAACGTATATTTCTACATTGAATCGCAAAAATGTACGGTATAATTCGGAGACGAGAGAAATTGAATTTCGATGAACTTAATTTTCGCGGACGCGCACGAGGAATGTGTGTGTGAAATATTTTGGTCTCTCCCTTTCTGTCTCTCGAAGCTTTTTCAGAGGAATATTAGAAAATCCTACGAACATGTATAATACATATATATGTATATATGTATATATATATATATATACATATACATCACTGCGCAAATGCAGGCGCGTATACACACAGATACGTTTACGTGGCGTTCTCGCCTTTTCCGCGAAATTTTCACGTGATTTACGATGACTCGCGCCCGCATACTCTTTTCCGAAGTAATTTTCGTTCGCGGAATTTACGACAATGGCCGCGTGTGCGTCTCCTAGAAGTTCAAGATACCAAACAGGTTTTTTTTTCTTAATAAACGATAGAAATTGATAGATTTATCGAAGCCAAAAAATCTGTGAGATTTATCTCGCTGGAATCTTCTTTAAATCAGTAAGTTGTTTTCACGTGACGCTCAAGATAATGTCGTATGTATTTCAAGATAAACAAAAGATTGTTAAACGTGATCCCATTATATTTAATTAATTCTTTGTGACCAGATCTCAAAAATGACAAGTCGGCCAGACCGGGTCTGTAAGACCCACGCGACTTTAAGATCGAATATCTCCGTGAAAAATCGATATTTTTTAAATTTTGTTTTTCGAATTGAAAGTTTGAACGATTCTGTGTCAATAAAAAAAAAAACAAATTGAAAAAATCTCTAGTAGTTTTGAAGATGTAAGCGTTTACAAAAAAAAACTTGGTTTTTTCTAGAAACGCTGATGTGCAATTTTTGAGTGGGAGACCCACGTCTGGACTTTAAGAGTTCGTAATAAATATTCGCGCGCTGCACTGAAGTTACATAACTCACTTGAAAACGCTTTTTTTATACGTTCAATTTCCCTAAAGTCATTGCAAGCTCACTCGATCTACTTTCTCTCTCTCTCTCTTTCTTTCTCTCTCGAAAGTTTCTGAGTTTGCTGATTTTCCAATAATTACGTAACGTAATCGCTAAGAGAGAGCGAGAGTCGCGCTTTGAAAAAGATCACAAAACACGTTAATAAATCAGTTGAGTTTAGCAAGAGATTACAAGCGGCAAACGCGTGGCTGCGATAATATACATCGGCCACGTGTTAACGGTAAAACTAACCGCAATGTTTACAAACTCTTTTACGCCCACGTAAAGCGTGCCTTACCATAAAGATCTCTAATAATAATTTTCTCTCTCGTTGTCAGGGCGCGCGAGAAGCACAGTGTCCGTAAATTATACTTCGATCTCTTGACCGGATCTTATCTTAACATATATATGTACGGCTTAATGTGTATATTATTAGTCTCGTGATACTTTGTAACACTTTGCGAAATTGTTGTACTTTATAATCGAATTTTGGTAATTGTTTTTAGAGAGATGAAGTTTTTAGAGAAACTCCCTCTTCTTTCAAAAAAAAAAAAAAACATTTAAAGCTCTCGCTCGTTGGTCAAGAAAGTTATTTAAGTTTAAATGAATTGTATTTAAATTAATACACACATAGTTTAGCGCGGAGTTTACTCGACGAAAATAAACCGATTAAAGTACAATTACAACGTGTCTTACATCAATATACACATAAGCGCTTCGTGATTTGAAAAAGGCGGACGAGATTACGCTGAAGTAGCGTAATTATTCCCGCGAGTAAACAGACGAAGAGAAAACTCGCGAACGTAATTAAGCTCTCAAACGTGTGGCTTTATAGTAAAATGCGTGTTTAGCACATAAGAACAATTCTTCTTTTTTTTTTTTTTTTTTTTTTTTTTTAATTCACGCACAACTTATCTTAATTACATGGAAATATCGTGCGTAATAATTAGAAGCCCTTTGATAACACACACATTTTACAATATTTTTTAATATTAAACTGTGTAATATTACTTTTTAATATTACTCTAAAACATTATTAAACATGTGTATATATATACTTCACGTATACATACGTATATGATGTAATTTTTTACCGCACGGAAAGATAAGAAAAAATTAACAAACACGTATGTATTGTTATTTTTCAGATATCGCCGGCGGTTATTTGTGCTTCATCATCAGCATTTTTGGGATCGGTGTCGTAACGGCGATAATCGGCGACGTTGCCTCGTATTTCGGTTGCACTTTGGGTATCAAGGATTCCGTCACCGCCGTGGTTTTCGTCGCCCTCGGTACCAGCATCCCCGGTGAGTGCCAAAGAAAACGAACACCGAAGCGTGTAAGTAAATCCGCACAAACCGCTGCAAACTGTTACATACTTTATTTTGAGAATTACGATATTAAAAGTCGAAAACACACACACTGATATATCTTTTAATACCGAAAAGTTAATTTTTATCTTTTGAAACGAACGTTTCAATCTGTTGGCTTCTCTCTTCCTATACATATATCTTCTTCGATAGATGAGAACGACGACAAACGCGGCCATCTTGAAACTCGTAAAACCGTAATGGAAGTAGTTTCCGTCGCTCTAAAACGCTTATTTATCTCGCAAGAAAGTTGAATGACATACAAGAAATTCTCGCCGCTTGATTCGTACGAGTGGTTTTCTTCGTGTGTATTCTTTCTTTCTCTCTCTCTCTCTCTCTCTCTCTCTCTCTCTCTCTCTCTCTCTCTTTTTCTTAAATTATTAAAGTGCACGCATCTCACCGTATACTTTTTATCTTACACTCGTGTGTTTGTTTTGACGTTTATTTCTGATATGTATGCATTGTGCGTTAGATAAACGTTGCACATAAACCGCAAAGAAACTGCGGCCAGATAGTTTACTAGCTTTTTACACACTTTTATACACTAAATAGATAACAGTAAACAAAGAAATTAAATAAATTTGCCAAATTAAGTGAGCAAATTAAATTGAAATAATTTACAATTTTTTTAATTACAATTTACAATTTCAATTAAATTTACAATTTCTTAAATTTCAATTTCTTTATCTTGATATCTAATAAAGAGCGTTATTATAGGAGGCGAGTTGTATATGTTAAAGAGGAAAATAATCGAGATTAATTTACATCGGAGAAAGAGAGAGAGAGAGAGAGAGAGAGAGAGAGAGAGAAAGTTAACTTTCCATTACTCTCATATCGGGAGTTTATCCTCCCGAGTATTTTGCATTGGTCGCATTCCATTTATGGCGTCCGCCATATTGCGACAGGATTTTGGGATTACGGGAGAGCAGCGATAATTTATTGCACTTGGTCTTTGTGTCTGGGAACAATGGGCCTACCGACGTCCCGTGTCCTTTCGCGTATACCGGGGAATAGGATAGAGTTTGACACGTGCAACCCTAAAGCTCGGATTAAACACGTCTTCCTCGTCTCGACACGGAAAAGGTGATACGGCGAGAATATTGTTGAGAGAGAAACGCATAATTTCTGTGTGTGGTTCGATATTTTTTTTTTTTTTTTTTTTATCATAGAAACACTATTTCTATTCGATTTGGCCAACCAAGTTTGCGTTATTCGAGTTGCTTCGAAGAAAGCAATTGTGCACAAGTGTACATTAAAGGAAATCAATTTTTCGAATTATTATATCGGAGTCGCCGATGCAGCGATCGTGACCCACAGTCGCGACGTAGTTTTGCTATTTTCGTGTGACACCCACGGCAAAAGAACATTTAATAAGTGATTCGAGTGGGCGTTGTCAAAGCTATTAAAGAGGCGTGTAACGACAACCGTGCCATTTCGAGTTTCTGGGTCAATAGGTTGCGTTCGAAATGCGCACCTAAAACACATAACTCATTGCCTCGTACGTGAAACTGATCATCCCGAAACGTAATCGTACAATCTCAATACGTGGTGCGGCAAATGCGGAATCATCGTGACCAGCGAACAGAAATCGTTTGGTTAACATCTAATAATTTTTTTCTCTGCAAATTTGTCGAGAAAAACTAAATCTTCTATTTTCAAGCCGCTTTATCGTTCTTGTCACCGATACCAAAGAGAATCTTTATCTTGGTATTTCTTTTTCTTCTCGCGTTGTGACAAAAGAAAAAAAAACAGAGATTTTCTTCGTTTCACGCCTTTTATATATAAACTCTAGACGAAGAGAACGCCGAAGAGAACTTCGAAATTGTATCTATCTCGGAAATGCCAGTTGAGTGTTGGAATAGTAGTATCACGTTTCGAATATCGATGAAATTTGCATGACGCACAGCTTCCTCTCGGTACGGGATTATTTAAGTCACCTTCCGTGAACCCCGTTCTCGTACTCTCTCTATGTGAGTGTGTTTCTTCACCAGAAACTCTCCGCGAGAAACTTCCTCCAACGAGGACCTCTCATCAATATTTATAATAGAGATTATCGCTCTCTCTCTCTCTCTCTCTCTCTCTCTCTCTTCTACTCTTTCCGAAAGTACCAGTTCGGGAGAGATAACTTCGGCGACTTTTTTCTTAGATGACTAAAAAAAGATACTACGCCAATCTAAAAATACAGGGCGCGCTCTAATGCGTTGAAATTGCGTTGCACAAAATATTCAACGCGATTCATCTTTCAAATGTCATTTGTACGTGCGTGCAGCATCGTTGTTCGAAGTAATTATTACACGATGCTCTCTACATTTTGCTACATTATACTACATTATACTACATTAATTAGTATAATACTACATCAATTTTCAACTTTAATTGCGGTGATTGATTGTCGTAAACGAGAGAGTTTATGCACACGAGTGTATTGCAAATCTGACGATTAATCGCCAACAATTGTATTTTACTCGTTACTTCGCGAAAGGAAAAACCTTCGAAATAATTAATTAGCATGAAATAGCTTGATTACCGCGTTTACGTTGGATGAATCGCCGGGCGTTACTACTGCGGCGACAGCGGTAGTAAATAGGCGAGCCCGGCGCATTCAGCGGCGACAACGCGCGAGCGTAAACAATCGCGGACGCTGGCTTGATTGATTAATTAGTACCGGAGAGAAGAGAATGCGGGAATATAACACGGAGTGCGAAATTATAAGAGAAAACATTTCTCTTCGTTCGCGATACGCGCGCTTTTTTTTATATTCCATAAGGGAGTAATAATAATTCAATTTTTTTTTAGAGAAAAATTATGTCGATTCTAAAAATAAGAATAAAAAACTTTCCCTCGAGAGCGAAGCGTGTTTTTTTTGTTTTTTTTTTTCTATTCAGCGACGCGTGATGAAGAAGCAGTTCTCGCTCCTCGCGCATTTGTCCCCGGCATGTAATTCTGCGGAAAAACCGCGTCGCGTTTACCGCGCACGCGATTTGAATTTCAAACCGCATTATTACATCACGTCTCTCGTAGATCTCCCTGTACCTCGTACGTTATAATATGCGTGGTGTGAGGTTTTCTTACGTCGCTTTATCACCGTCGAATGATGACGCTCGGTTCACCTTGTGCCCGATCCCTTCTCCGCGCGCGCGCGGTCAAACCCGCCATAAAACTCGGGGCGAGTTCGTACAAATCGCGGCCAAGACATCACAGCAAATTGTTGTCCCGGTAAAATGAAATCGTACGTACAAAGCGAGGGCGATCTCTGGATTCCCACTGGAACGCGCGCGTTAAATCCATCCTGTTACTCGACCTTGCGCAATATTGGAGACTCGGACGCAATAAAGAACGCGCGCGGATTATCAAAACTAAAAGAATTGTCTGTTGTTTGGAAATCCACAATTCGCCATTATATTTTACGGCGAGCTAAACGTACATACGTGTCGCGAGAATAAATGACAACGCGGTTAAATACGCTGCTACTACTATTGGCGTTAAATAAACGTCGAAATATATCGATGTCCGATACACATCAACGACCGTTAAAATGACAAAGACTCAGGAGCGCATAAATTTATTTCAGACACGTTTGCGAGCAAGGTGGCCGCTTGCCAGGACAAATATGCCGACGCGAGCGTGGGCAATGTGACCGGAAGTAACGCGGTAAACGTCTTCCTGGGGATTGGCGTCGCGTGGAGTATCGCCGCCATTTATCGTGCCTGCCACAACGAGCCGTTCCTCGTCGAACCCGGCAAGTAAGTACCCGATAGCAATTACTAAACTAAATGTCCGGTGTCGTAAAGCCGCGCGCGCGGCTTTATTGCGTCGTGTACACGAGTAAATTTAGAGCACGGTGTATATAATTTCAGATACGCACTAATATTATCATCTTTTTCTTTTTTGTATCTTTTTTTTTTCCCACAAAGCGTGTAACAAGCATTCGAGTCACGAATACTTGTGGATTTCGGGTAATTTGATTGTTTGCTTTTGCTCGAAATTTTTTTTCTCTTTTTTTGAGTACAAAATATATCTCGAATAATTCAAAAACTGTGGAAATATTTTTACAGCTTTGTTTGTAATTGACATAGGTGCGTGTGGTTTTTATTGCGCAATCGGCTTGTTATTGCCGGAGTAAGATCGGATAAGACGTGATGACATGGAACGAGACACGCACACACATACACACAGAATTCTAGTCAGGGTAGATATGACGACGACGTGACCTCGATATAACCAGTCGTCATTTTCCGTTTACGATCTTGTTCGTGAAACTATTCTCAAGAAATTTGGTCAAAGTATTCCGACGGCAACTTGGCCGATGCGTTGCTCCCCCCTTGCAACCAACGTCACGTAAAATTGTGCTGTCGACATTTATCGACGGAAACGTATCGGAAGTGTATTCGGTTTCAGTTATTTAGATGTTTTTCAATAAGTATTTCATACGACACACACACACGCACACACTCACACCGAGTAGATCGCAATTGACTTCCGCAAACAATCGTGCGATTATTTTTATGCAATTTTTCGAAATTCTATGCAAAACTCTCGTCCTCGTGTTTTTTTCCCGGGGAAAAGTAGCTTCGAATCATCAGAAAACTCGTGTTTCATTTGGCATTTCCAATCTCCTATTATGCGGTGTGTTGATACTGTGTTCCATTTTCCGAGGATTTCGACGAGGATTACCGCTCGCGAAATAGAGTATCGTATCTAGTCTAGTATCGAGTGATGATTTCGTGAGCGAAAAAAATTGAATGTAAAAAATGTTTCACGTTGTAATTTGTTAAAATAACGTTTAAAATAATTTTCCATCTACGCGTTTCAAGCAGACCGCGTTAGACAATTTTCTTAACGACTTGTTAAGAGCCAGAACAAATCACGAATATATACAGTCCCAATAGTTTTTTTTTTTAGCGCGCAGATATCATCACAACGAATCCTCAGTCACGCGAAATGTCCATTCGTCAGTGGACTTTTAACATTGAAGTTCGACATCGCAGATTCGGGTCCGAAGATGAATCTTGCGGTCGTGAGCCGGAGAAGTTTTCCCATTCATCTTTGAGGAGCGAACGAGATCTCAGCGAAATCGCTCTCCAAGTTCCTCCGAAACTTGGGGAGAAAATGGAAAGAAAATCGATCTTTATATGCTTCTCTCTGCTAAATGCAAGTTTGTTAAAAAGTACGACATAAAAATCAAAGTTTCGCCGATCGATCAGATCGCATTAAATAAGTTTTTTTTTTCGCGGAAAATTTTCCGCGATTTTTCTCGCGCGATTAAAATCTCCGGTCCGGAACCGTGCAAGAAAAGAAAAAAAAAAAAAATTTGAAATTGCGCCCGCCGATCGCAAAGTTTGCGACTCGGTTATTCACATCTTGAAAACAGTTCAAGCGCGACGTCGATTCGAACACTTCACGTGGATTACACATCCAAAATGGCATATTTTCTGACGCAGCTTGGCCTTTTCCGTCACCCTGTTCTGCAGCGAAGCTTGTCTAGTGATCGTAGTGCTGATGGTGAGGCGAGTGAAGTCGATCGGCGGCGAGCTCGGCGGACCTTTCGTACCGAAGCTCATCACGTCAGTGTTCCTGTTCTCCCTTTGGCTGCTCTACCTCATCATGTCCACCCTTGAGGCCTACGGCGTGATCCAGGGCTTCTAAATCGGGGGCCCATTACGCGACGCCATTACGTCGGCCTATCCATTGTGTATCTTAGTTCTGGCGTCCGCCAAGGCGTATGCTCAACGAAACTTCAACCTGGTGAGTGCAACAGTACAGAGGATGACGATCCATTCAAGAACATATTCGTCGAGAAACAAAAGTTTCTGAAGTTCTGTATTTTTATTTTGATCGGTTGGGTGTTCGCGCAAATGTCACCTCGTGAGAATGTTTTCGCCTCGCAACGGAAAGTTTCGCGCTTCACACGTATACGAAAGCATAGTAGTTTTTTGACTTTTCGGAATACATGAAAGAACAATGTTGAATACATAAAACTCACATTAGTAGAAGACTTAATCCGAGCACACAGACGAGTGTGCGTACATATACATACGATTTACGTTTGTCTTCGTTAAGCACGCTCGACGGTTAGTGTCACGATAATAGTGTAGTCACCTACTTTACTCGTTCGTTCGTCGCGAAGTTCGGCTGTCACTCCAGCATCCTCTTAAAGATTAAATATAGCGCGGAACGATCAGCGCAGACAGCTTTTTGTGTGTCCGGAGTTTCGCGCGAACATCACCGTCGACCCACATTCAAGCTGTCTCTCACGAGCTGTTTTACGCAGAGATTATTCAGATCTCCAGACATTTACTTCATTTCCGAATATTCGAAGAATTATTATTTTACAATTTAAATGCTCGTGAAATATCCGAACAATAAATATTAGAATCAATCTATACGCTGGATGTTTGTGGAAATATAAATATTTGTAAGTATATATATTTATAATTTATAACTTTTTTCTCTCAATACGTGCGAAACACACACGATTGCGAAATTCGAAAATTCGCATCATAATTGCTTGGTTTGCATCATGAATATGTGAAATACTCAATTTATCTCTCCATGGAAATTAAAAAATCCATTTAAAAAATCCATTAATCCCGGACTCGACTCCCGATCGAGGTGTCTTTTTCCCAATGGATTTTTTTAATTTCCATAGGGAAAGAGAGTAAATTGAGTATTTCACATATTCGCAATGCAAACCAAGCATTCTAGGCGAATTTTCGAATTAAATTTAATTCGAATGTCAATGTGTATTAGTTTACACATGTTTGAGCAAAGTTTTTTTTATATTTGCACGAACATTTGGCACATAGGCTCGTATTTTTGGCACTGATAACTTAGTTCGGAATTATCGTTTTTTTTTTGTTGTATATACTCGTTATTTTTTACTTCCCGAGAAATTTATTTTTTGTCATGCCTTTCTTTGAGCGATTCTTCAATTTCTCACTTGCAGGTCACTCTCGCGGCGAGATTTCGTCGCGATTTCGCGCAGAACAAACTCTGACTGTGTCCGGGAATCGCATAAGTTCATCATCCCCCCGACCTGAGACAGTTTAAACACAACGAACCGTGATCGCGTGCGACGTATTCGATGTGCGAGAAATATGTATACGTGTGTGTATGCATGTGTTAGGTACCTGAGAGCGCGAGTGCGTGTGCTTGCGAAAATGTCATTCTTCAACGAAGAGAGAGTGAGAGAGAAAGAGAGAAAGAGAAAAGAAAAAAAAATCAATCGGGAGGAAAGAAAAAATCGAGGAGGGAAGAAAAAAAGGCGGAGAGGAGAGGGAGAGAAATGTGTGCGAGAAAAAGTGAGTTTGCCTTAATATAATTCAAAACAGAAAAAAAAAAAAAAAGAAACAAGTATAACGCAGTTCTAGTCACGCCGCATCTCTTCCGGGGGAGCAGAGATGCGGTCCGTTTATTATCAGAAAAAAAAAAAAGAAGAAGAAACGCGAAGAAAAAAAATCTAGATGTACGCATATGTGCTAAATATACATATATGTATGTATGTATAAATATATATATATATATATATATATGAAATCGCGAGTACATATGTGTACATAGTGTATTTATTTAATATCCTGCATAAGGGAATACACACACAGGTTTCTATGATATTTTATTAGCGAAACTTATATTGCAATTCCTTTTTCGCCAGAGTACGACGTCGCTAATTTTATATACACGTATATATATATATATATATATATAATAATAATATATATATATTATTGTACACGCGAAATATATTCCTTTGTTGTGGGAGTCTTTTTAAAACTTTAGGATTGATCTTCTTCGCAAGAAGAATTCCTCGCGGGACTTCGGGGGAAGAAGAAACGGAGGAGGCGCGAAAGCGCCCGCGAGCGGAAGCAAAGCAACAACCATCGACGTAATTGTGCAATATACGACCGGTTTTCGAAAAAAAAACAAACAAACAAACACGTCATTGCTAGTCATTAAGCGTTACAGTCATCATTAGTCGTTTATTAGCGAGTAACTAATACCGTTTTTGATATATTATATTCGCGAGTGTTCATATAATTTTTTTTTTTTTTCTATTACATAATCTCTTCAGCGTAGTATTTTTTTTGTTTGTTTTTTTTTTTAATTAGATCAGATTAAAACCCGCCCAGAGAGAGAGATGTAGTCACGCATCCGTAAGTTCGAGAAATCGCGATCGGTTCGATATTACACAAGTGCGTACGATTTGTGAAATTTAAAGAACATATATAGTGCATTTTTATTGTTGCAGCAACTGAATTATAGCCACACAAAAAAGACGCGCGAAAAATTGCGTGTGAAATTAGTCGAATTTTGGATATGATTGATCAGGGTTGTCAGGGTTGTGTGTCGCTTTTAACTTGGAACACGAATAAAAACAAAAGAGAGAAAAGAATAATTAAATAAGCTGCTAATAAAAGAGAGAGAGAGAGAGAGAGAGAGAGAGAGAGAGAGAGTACGCGGAAAAACTACATTTTTCAACCATTTAAATCTTGAGAGAAACTTCGTTTGGTGAATACGAAAAGAGCCGAGAGAAGTTATTTTTATTTTCAAGTCGGACCTAAGACGCGAACTCGACGGTGAAATATACCAGGCAACCCTGTTGTTGACGATCTATAAACCTCTCTCGGTGTTTATTATACGAAATATATTTTTTCACTGTCGAATTTGAATTTTATTATACACAAGAAAGAAAAGAAGAAAAAAGTTGTGGAACTCTTTGTCACGATAAAAAAATGTGAATAAAATCTGCTGAAAACTGCCGTTCGAAAAATTGACGCAGATGAGTAATTCACAAAGCAGTTCTGCAAAACCGGGAGGAATAATTATTTCGATTCCAATTGAATCGAAAATTTCGTAATTCCTTTCTGTCGCGTATCGTTTTTTTTTTTTTTTTATTATCTTTCCCAACGCGCGGTCCAATATACACGCGAGAGTGTATATTCCGTGTAAAATTCTGTGCGATTACGCGCAGTGAATTAATTTCTCGAACGTGCACAAATTCAGAAAATATGACAAAATCCTCGTAACAACTTTCAATTAGCTCAGAGGAAAATGAAACAACAAGAAGAAGAAACGCGGTAAAAAGATTCTAAAAAAATGTATAGCGAGAATTTGATAAAAATCTTTCAATTTAAAAAAAAAAAAAAAAAGAAGAAGAAAGAGACAAAGAGAGAGATTTCGAGATTGTCGTCAATCAGAACAAAACAAACTTGTTGAGCAAACTTGATACTAATTTTATCGTGAATACCAACTTGAATACCAACTGAAACATATTTACTGTTGTTAAGGGTAGTTAGATAGCACGACGAATGTTATATAATATATATATATATATATATAAATAAAAACAAATAATTTAGACTCTCGAGGTAATATAAAACCAAAAAACCCCCACGAGTTACATCGCGGCCTTCGTTCGAATGTAAATCGTGTATCCGTCTTCGTGAAAATTTGCGAAGAATCGTATTTTCGTTTTCTGATTCGCGATGTGCGGCATCTCGCGACGCTTGGGAGAATATTTGAATATTTATCCGCGTGGTTGTTCTTGTAATATCTCTTCGTTTGTAACGCAGTTTTTTCAGGTTAAAATTCGAATATTCTTCGAAGCGGCGCCAGAACAACCGGCAATTTTAATCAAAGAAACGGGGGAGGTTACGATTCTTTGCTGCGTCATTCGTGAAGAAGGAGCGCAAAATGTTCTCGTTGATCTTCACTGCCTTTGATCGAGGGTCGCATTTTGTTGGGGAGACGAAAACAGTTAACGCAACAGTTATATATTCGAGTTATACATGCGAATCGAGTTTGTGTGTGTGTGTGTGTGTGTGTGTGTGTATGGACTATGTACTCCGAAACTCATTTTAGACGATACGGACTCTCGGATGACGGTATCGCTTCAAGGAGAGTCCCAATCTGTTACACACACAGTTTTTGAATTCACACACACACGAGCGCGCGCGAGTCACACACCGTCATTCTTGCGCGAGAGACGAATAATCGCGATCGAATTTTTAAGTTTACAAGATTGTTGTACAAGAGGAGAGCGTGATCTCGCGCGATTGTGGGGAGATTTTTAGAGTACGTCGAAATATTATACAGGCGGCCATTTTTAGCGACATATATTCTACAAATATATAGAAACAAAGAAATACCTCATAAGAAAGATGATTTAAAAAAATTATTGTTGGCATTTTGTAACATTAGCTTTTGCAAGAATTGCCGGATGAAAGAAAACATTGTTTTTCCCTTTATATATGTCTTTCCCTCGTAAACAATCGATCCTGCCCTAAACGTTCTTTGTTGACGTGAGTCTTTTAAGGCAATGTTACGATGTGCTTCTTTGATGTCATTGTAAAAAATCGTCGCGCGTCTAAACGAACCTTTGTGGACTACGCAGCACGCACACACATGTATATGTAAGCTCGTTACATGCGTTTGTTCTTGCATCGATCTGATCTCCGCGGTAATGAGAAACGTGCGACTACGAACGTGTGTGTGTGTGTGTGTGTGTGTTGGTTGCTGTTTAACTCTTAATTAACATTGTGTGAAAGCGCAGCGGCGCGAACAATTAATGAACTCTTCTTCTGTGGGTCGATCGTGTACCAATGAGATGCGAAAATCTTGAACCTCCCGAGTTGCCGAGAGAATTCTTGGCTTTATAAATTGTGTATCGTTTTTGTAACACACAGTTTTGAAAAGGGACAGCAAAGCTTAATTAATTTCACATTACTCTTAACGCGATTATTCGTACAGTGATGATGATTGATTCTTGTTTGTATACGCGCGCGTTGTGGAATTTCTCTTTTTCTCTTTCTCTCTTTCTTTCTTCTCCCTTCTCTGTCTTTTCTACTGACTACAGTGTCGTCAACAGAAACAATTTCGAAATCGGTATGAATCCAATATCTATTCACATATTTCAATTTTTGCTTTGAATATTGAATTTTCTCTTCCGTCCTGAAAAAAAAAAAAAAAAAAGAAATTAAAATGCATATATCCAGATTTGATGTATTTATATGGCAGCTCGATGTATATATATATATATATCTGGTTATTATATACTGTTGAAGAACATTACAATATTAGATTCACGGTAACTCGTGATTAAAAATTTAAAAATTAAACATATTTTTTAATTTTATTGTGCGCGAAATTTTTACCAAATTAGTATTTAGTTAATTCTATATGTTAAACTATATTTTTCTCGCTCAATACGTATATGTTTTGTTTACTAGTTTACGTTAAACTGTTATGTCAAATTATACTTTATTTTTATTACAATATATAGCGATTTATACGTACTTACTATGCAAAAAAAAAAATAAATAAATAAAAGATGTAAAAGATAAAATACATTTTTGGTTGATTTGCATCCTTAATTACTTGCAGCAGTATTGAAGTGCTAGTTTTTAAGTTTTTCTCGCAGATTTTTAAGTTACATCTATGTGTTATTTTCGCGATTTGATTTATATCGCAGGTAAGTGTGTGCAATAATTTTGTATTTTTTAATATAAATCTCTTTTTTTCATCAGTAATGAGAGGAGAATTATTTATTAAGAATTATTCTAATTTTTATACCTGAGTTTTTTCAGTTTTCTCGACATAAATAAAACGAACTGAAAGGTAGTCACGGATTTTTTTTCAGCTTCATACAGAAAATGCAGAAAAAAAAAGAGAGAAAGTGGGAAAAAGTAGGTCGAACGCAAAAGTAGGAAAACGATATCCGATTTGATCGCAAAAAATAGATGCAATAAATTTAACAAAAAAAAAAAAAAAATATTACCCTCATTTTCCTATCAGTTCGAAAGAAGTTAAATGCAATGTTATTAATCACAGTATTACTTTGACGCGTCTAATTCAATCCTCCGGTAAAAGCGGAACTTTTTATCTCTATTCTCGAACTTATCGAGCTATCTATCAAATTAAACTCAAAAAAAAAAAAAAAAAAAAAAAAAAAAGATTTTTCCGATCGCAGGCAGGAAAAGACAAACGCTTGTAAGAAAAAAGAAACAACAAACAAACAAACGACGAAGAACAGCAAATTCATAGGTATTTTATTAATCCAAACAGTTTGCGATATAGTTGATATTGTAAGTATATGTGCGCGCGTACAGAATAGGATGTACACAGAGACACTCAAATAGCAAAGCGTTCAAGTGATAAAAACCGTAAACGGGATCCGGAACGTCTTTTTCGAATCTTCGTCGTTCAGCACGATCGCTCGACCGCGAATGGACGCTGTTAATTCTGCGGTGTAAATTTTCTATATCGTGTTTACACACGGGAGAACCTGATTATGCGTCCGGTGCATACTGGAGAGGTGCACACCGAGCGAGCACAAGCAGGATAAAAGCACAGGTGGCGAATAATTAATCAAGCATAATCAAAAGTGCTACACGTACCTCAGTGGCTCGTTTGCGTTGCGGCGTCGTGTTGACGAAAGAATTCACCAATGACGTGCGATCTCCCTATCTTCTGTCTCTCTATTCCTTCTCATCTCTTCCACTCTTCTCTTCTATACTATCAACTATTTATCTACTTGATTATCTCTCTCTCTCTCTCTCTCTCTCTCTCTCTCTCTCTCTCTCTTTTTTCTTTTTTCCTCTCTTCCTCTTCTAAACATCCCGACTCTTCTTCCGAAGATTCCGGATATTAACACTTGTTAAGGTCTATTCTCTCTTCTAATCTTTCTCTCCTTAAACTTTAAACGAAACTAGTTTAAAGGCGCAACCTAACCAAATGGAGATGGTCAGTTTGAACATAATATTATAACCTTTTTCATTAACTTTTTACTTTAAGCTTAGTCGAGCAATATATAGATTGTTAAACGGTTCGATATAAAACGTCGCTAACTTGAATATCGTCGCAATCTGATTCTTTCAACGCGCGTCTTCCTTTTTCATTTATTTGTTTCCTTCCTTTCTCATATTATTTACTTTTTCAATGTTCTTGTACACCGTGAATGTCGATTCTCTCTCTCTGTAGTTTTAGTTCCGTCCGTGAAACTTTCCGATCCGGGCCACTTGATAACAGACCGGCCATTTATTCTCGTTACAATGGCGTGCATAGGATTTTGGTCGTACGGATTGAATTTTGCTCGTCGGGACGTGACACAATGTTTAAACGACTTCCCAAACTGTTTCGTGAAAAGAAATCGCGAGCGTTACGCATTCGATTGCGTTCAGTGCGGAATTGTTGGGGAGAAAATAATCCCGCGGGAATAATTCTGCCACGTGTCGCTTCCAAACAAAGACGAGATTGAGATTACACGGATCCTTTCTCGCCGCGTACACTGTCGGAGAATCAACTTAAAGTAGATACGCAGATACACACACAAACATACCACATACGAAGTTAAGTTTATACATTTTATTAAAATCAAAAAAGAAATTCTCTTTTTCTTTTGCAAAAAATTCTATTTTTCTCGCAAAAACATGGATATACAAAAAAAAAAAAAATATATATAAGAGACTAAGAGATATCAAATATTTATATTGAATCTACAATTTTAATAAATATCGAAAAACAATCTTCAAATCAAAACTACAAAGTTTGTAACAGCTGATAAAAATATATATTTTTTTGTAACGCAACTTTAAAGAGAGGGATAATAGAAAGCTGTTCTTCTATTTTTACTAAGGTTTTTTTATTTTTGCAATAGTTATCGTTTAAAATACTCTCAAATATACGTAATGCTTACAAAAGCGACACGCTTGAATTATTTCCACGTGTAATTTTTGCGAAAAAAAAATAGTTTGCAAAATCATTATTTTAATTTATTTGAAACTTTTTTTTACATATTTATTTTTTGTAATTTATTTATATATTTGTTTTATTGAAGTATTCATGTTGCAGATGACTTGCGATATTCAATGTGCGACAATGAATTAGGTTGTATTAATCCAGGTTGTATTAATCTAATAAATATCGATTAAATTTAATCTCTCGGTGAGTGAATTTCGATATATTAACGAAGAAAAAAAACGACGCAGTCTAGTGTTGAGTAATTTCGTATTTTTCGGTAAAGTCCTATTTCATAAAAAGTTCAAAGTTCGATGTCTCGCGAAATAAAAAAATTAAAAAAATATATACGTATGTATATGATTTTAAACTCGGTTTTTATCTCAGACATCGAAACGTGAATTTTATGTACAGTTGTTGACAATTTTCAATGCTTTAGTCGAGATAAACGGATTTGTTATCAGTCTGTTTATCGCACGTGGCCAGCCCCTGCAATCTCCATGTGAATACTGTTTACGTAAACATATTTTACTTAATGAGGATATATTCCAGTAAAATCTAAAAACGAATCACTGGAAACAACGAATATATATGAAATGGCCGCATCGAAAAACCCAATAGAATTTTGTCTCTTTTCTTGGGCCACCGGCTGTATTTTAATTAAGACAAAAAAAAAACCAGTTAGTTGTCTCGCGTATATTTATTAATATTAGTTTTCTACACTTTTAGTTTATATACTTTAGAAACTAGAGAAGTTTAGTTAGTTAGAAAAATCTCGTATATGTGTATAATGTATATTTACTTAAAAATATGTGCGAGATACGCCGTGTACATATTGAAAAAACAAACAATTTATTATATAAATTTATTATACTATTATACGTATATATATTATTATACATTACGTGTGCCACAAATTTATTTAAAAAACTGAATAAGTGAAATAATAAAACTAAGTCTCTTCGAAGAATTGTTAAGCGGGCCAATTTTTGCGGATACATTTTTAAGCCGTAAATGAACTTTTATCCGGAATTTTTCTCACACTCGATAGTTAGATCCTCCTCCCGATATCATTTCACAATTAATATCTCGGCAACACGATTACATCTCGGAATAATATATCACACATACTTATTGTATCTCATATATGAGATAAGTCGTTGCGCATCAGCGGATATGATAACCTAACCGCGGAATTAATTTCTAGCAACAATTGAACCAATATTAACGTAATATTGATTGAGTCTTGATTAAGTTCGTTAACATCGATAACAATCAGGCACTCCCGAAATCGAAATTGAGCGATATACGCACAACAAGGACCAGCAGAAACACGTAGTAGAGAACAAAAAACCAAAAAAAATAAAAGTCTGAAGTAGAAGTTGGAGCAAATTAATTCTTTGTACTCTTCGCTGTTACGGCACGTGTGTAAATATTTTATTTAATATATTCAATTAAAAATAAATTTCCAAACCTGCAAAAAATTTGTCTCGGCTAAACAAAAAAAAAGTCCTTGATGTATCTTCAGCGATTGAAAATTTTTTTCTGTCTCTCAACATAAAAAAAGTGAGGAGTGCAAACGGTTAATATCAATAGTTTTAGTTAAAATATTTCACACGACTGATTGTGAAAACCAATCAACGCGAGCTATCGACACAATTGTTTTCTATTATATTGTGTATAGATTTGATTACACATCTTCCTTTGATATAAACTAGTTTCGGCTGTCGCGTCCAATCAGTCTCTCGTGATAAACGACCAATAAATATCGCGATAGAAAAAAAAAAAAAACGTTTCTATTCGGACCAAAGACTTAATTGACGCGTGAAAAATATGGCTGTGCGTGAACTTGTTGAAAAAAAAAAAAAAAAAAAACATTTGTACAGTAAAAGCGATCGCCGTGCGTTTGCTTTTGCGCACTTTGTATATCGAGGCGGTAGAATCTCTGTGAATCTCTCTCTTGCGACGTTTTCAATTAAATTGAAATCGTTTCTAGAGAAAGACGTTTCTAACAATAATTGACCGTCGCCTCGATTAGTGGCAATCAAAAAATTTTTTTTTCCAAGCATGTTTTCATTGTTACTTAACATTTATTGTTACCTTTTATTGTTACTTAAAATTTACGTGTTTACTTAATGTTGTTTTGTTACATATTACAATTTTACACATTGTATATTACAGTTTTAGATTTAAATTATATAGTCTTTATGTTGGATTATTTATTTACAAGACAAGATTCACGAGCTGCGCATTATAAACGCGTTCCTCGATTTCAAGCTCTCTCTTTATCTAACCGGAAGAAAAAAAAATAGAAGCGCTGGTAGACTTAATCGAGGATAAAAACGTATTTACTCTCAGAACAAAAAAAAAAATGAGCACAGAGAGAACTAAGCGAAAAGATAGACAATTTTTCTCTGCAGCACGAGTGCAATTTCGTAGTCCGATTTTTTATCGTGCTGTGTATGAAATTTTTACACAGAAAGAAAGACACACACCGAATCTCATCTTCTCTCGAGTCGCATCGTCATTCGGGGCTGGCTGCATCATCCTGTAAATATTACCGTATTATATCCCATGTGGCCATTTCTGCATTTTTAAGAGACATAACGTCCGTAGATCCAACTCCCGAATCTTCTTTCTTTCGTCCTTCATCCCTTTTTCTTCGAAACTTCTCTTTCTCGTTTTTGTTTTTGGTTTTTGTTTTTATTTTCTTGGTTACTGCTTTTGTTTCTAAGATAAATACCTATTATACATAGACACGCTACACAATATACGTGTAACACATGTATGTAATCTATGACTACTATACTATGTACTGTACTACGGGGGTGTGGAGAGATACCCTCCACACTCTGCGCTATCGTTCAATCTCTATCGTCCTATCTTTACTGTCTTTACATGTCTTTAAACGATGTAGACTGTTAGTGAAAATACAGATATTTATGATGACACTACTGCTCTCTCTCCCGAAAAACAGAGGAGGAGCCAAAGATGAAGTTGCAAGGGAAATATTATATAAAAATACGAAGAACTTTAGAGCAAAATTTGGACCAATTTCGTAAATTCCGTTTTTTTTTTTGAGTCCTCGAACGTGCACATTAAAATCTCGAAGACGAGACTTTGTATCAGAAGTACGTTAATATTTCTTCAAATTTGCATATTAAGTATACATTTCGCGGAATTTTTGTATTACATATCTCTCTCGGTTACGCGTTGTTGTGTGAGATCAGACTTCACTCAATTTCGTAATGACGTAACAAAATTATCAGGCGCTCCAGCCGAGTATTCTTCATTCAAACACTTGGTCCAATTCTTCTCTGAACTTTTTGTATACATAATTAATAAAAACGAGATCCGTCTCTCATCGACGATCTTTTCTCGCATCTACGAAAGAGATAAGATTATAAATTACGTACAAGATAGAGAGTTGGTGTGTTCCTTTAGAAAACAGTTCTGCGATTAAGATTGCGAAGCGAGGAGGGGAAGGGAGGTGGTTGTGCGCAGCGGCGAGAGAATACGCGCGATGCATATGTAATACATACTCTCCAACATTGTCGGCGCTGCTCAGAACTGCTTCCGAAAGTTACATTTAAGATAGTAAACTGTTACATGATGGGGAAGATACAAGAAACTGTCGTTCTAGATCGCGAGCACCGTCAATATTTACGTCCCGCGGAATATCCGTATGTTCAAACAGCGTGAATCCACCACAGACTAAAATTCAGAAGCGAACTTGCTCGCGCGCGGCGCGAAACTACTACAAAAGAATACGATATATATATATATATATATATATTAATGAGAAAGAGTCAAACAACGTTGCGGCACGGAGTTACGTGCGGATTGTTTGAGACAACCTGATTCGGATCATCAGCGATTAGAATTATGATGTTTATAAAAAAAAAGTTTGGGAGGAAAAAAAAACGCTCCAATATTTCCAGAAGAAATAAATGATCTCGAAGTATCGGCGGGTCACGTGGTGTGGAACGATCAGTGTTAGTTTAACGGGTACATTTTGAATAGCAAGCGAGAAGAAAAACGCGCGTACGTTGTATGTGAGTTTTATACCGTATAAGCGAAACATACAAAAATACTGTTCGCCAGTAGACGTACATACACGTGTATATATGTATTGTTATGTTATTGCCTAATAATTATGAAATAGAATGTTATATATAACACTTGTAATCTGTATCCTTTTTCTCTACCCTCTCGCCGTCGCGTTTTATATTGGCGTTTCGTTGCGAAGAATTTGATCTTCTTCGTCTTCGTCCTCTTCTTCGTGTTCTTCTTCTTCGTCGGGCACACCCCATCCCGTTTCTTCCAGTTTCGATTCCAGGAGATTCCAGAATAACCGTTCCATGGGAACTCTGCGAGCACAATGTATTCGTCGGAAGATATTTCGTGAGATATTTATGTAAATGTGTATATTACCTTTCCAAATCTTCTCTGTTTAAGTTCATAGCAATGAGTTTTCTCAGTGACATGCCGGCATCCGGCGTTAGGTCGACTCCCGCGATAACCGACATCTTGTCCCAAAGTGGCTGCGTCATCGTTGGATCGAGAAAAATGGCTAACAGCGGAATGTATTGCTGTGCGTGTGTGTGTGAGTAACAAAGCAATGATATGAGTAAAATTACGAGGAAGTTTTTGTTTTGCATCGAAATTGTAAAACTGAACGTAGAAAAAACAAGAGAGTACCATAAACCATCTCACTTCCTCTAAAAACTGATGACACAATTTTAAAGGTGCCGGATGCTGAAACGGATCGGGATCGTCCACGTATCCTCCGAAACTGCGGAAAACTCTGGCCGGTTAACGTATAACCAGTTAATAAGTTTCGTGAACACTTTGGGCCATTTGCGGCATCGAGTTACTCTCTTAATACCGACGAAGAGAAGTGTTCACGAAACTGCACCGAAAGTGTTTGCGAAACTTCGGCACGAAAATGAGACACAAAAGCCGCACGCGTAAGAGAGTATGATTAGATTCGGGGGGTATTAGGTCGTGTCGTTTAACCTGTACGGATAATTGGTCGCGAGTTGGATCTTGATTTTCGTTCTGTAAAGTTTACTGGTTTTGTTGAAGTCGTGAAAATATTCCTTGCACTTGTTCTCTATATGATCTATATCGAGATATTCGAAGGAACTGTTGAGCCAGACCTCGCGGTTCCTTTGCCAACGATATCCCTTGTATATTACGTTGTAAAATGGGAGAATGTTCTCTCTGAGTTCATTGATGCGCGGATAAGCCGTCAACGGGAATTGAAACAACGCCTCTTCCGCATTTATCGATTCGGCTTTCTGCTTCATGCGCTCCAACTCGCGCATCATCTTCCACATGAGCTCGATGTATTCCTTCACGCGCTTGGCATCATCCATATCGTTCATTATGACCAACCTGGTGATTGTAACGGTGTTGTTTTTTTAAAAATATTTCTATAGATACAGTAGATAAACATTAAAATAATGTGTTTTTGTTTTTTTTTTAACATGCGTTCAATATCACTGTCACCTTTTTTTGTCTTTGTTTGAAGAGAACACAAAAGTTTTTGCAAAATTACCTAGGAAACATGCCTTCCACACGGTGACTCAGGATCTCGACCTCCTCCTGAAGCTTTTCCTCAAGATCGAATTTCATTTGTTCGTACATCGACGAGCTGCGTTCGAAAATCGGTTTGATACGCTTGAACCATTGCACAGTCGTGGTATTTAACTCGATGTGATGTCGGCTCAAACTAGTCATCTCGAGGAGAGAGGTCAACATGCGAAGCGAAAGATACATTTTTTCCTGCAGTTCCATCAACACCGTTGACGTCGCCGCCAACATGTACTGACCTGCGTCAAAAATACATTCGTTACTTTGCACAACTACGGTGTGAATAAAAATACGAATTTCGCGCGAAATAAATGTTGCAAACATTTATGCGAAAACGAAGTACGAGTTGCAAAACTCGTACCTTGATTTGAGATAAAATATTCTTTTTTTTCTCCGTGCTAAAAATAAATTATTAAGTGAGAAAGAGAGAGATAGAAAAAGACAGAAAATAACACTTACCTAATTCCAGTAATTCTTTTGTGGTTTGCGGAACGTCTAGTGCACGGTCTCTTAGCTCTTCGAACGTATTGCATATGTCCAGATTGTAATTCCAATGACGCTCCACTAGCTCGTCGATGACAATATCCCGTGATCTGTTCGCGAAATAAATGAGACCGTGTTTTGCGGCAACTTGATGCACTCTCATCGTTTCTAAGTACTCATTATCGGGCTGTAATAATATTTTTTTTCCTATTTTTACTAGTAACTCCTATTTTTATATGTACATATATAAAACCAGGCGGTGTTGATTTTGTTGTAAATTCATTTGTATGAAAAAAAAAAAGTGTAATCGCTCGTGAAACTGTCAATCAAAATTTAAAGAGCCAATACCAGACTGAATAAACGTAAATAAAACTTTATTCAGATGTCTCGATCTTTGTGTTGGATTTTTTTCAGTGACAAACTGCATGTAAATAACTAAATGTAATATAATTAATTTTAGTTTGCCAACAATCTGTTTGCCAACAACAGACACAAGGATCGTTTGACATCTAAATAAAGTATTTACATCAATGTATACGAACATCTAGTGCTCCATTCTCGTATTGGCCCTTCGAATTTTTATTTGTACGAGGCCTTTGTTAAGAGAATATTATCTATTTACACACACCATTCCGTGTATCGCGCGTATCAAGTCGTTAAAATCTTTAACTCTCTCCATGCATTGCTCCAGAGTGTGTTCCTTCTTGAACCGTTTCGTGGCGGCCATTGCGTCGAGCTGCTCGTTGTCCTCGACGTGAAGGATGCAATCGAATTTCAGTCGCAGTTCCGCCACGTAGTCGCACAGTGGCCGGAAAAATTCTTGCAAACTCGCAGTCAGACGTTCGTGCGCTTTATTCAAGTACCAATCGGGCAGCGAGACAAACGCGGGGTTACTATTCGCGGCGATATTAAGTTCCGTCTGTCCTTTTTCCCTTTTACCGCCTTTTCGTCTTTCTTCTCTTCCTCCACGTCCTTGGTAACGTCTGCTGTGCACCCACGTTTCCAACGGCGGCAAATGCCGACCGCTGGTCGCTATCTCGTTCACGAAATCGTGAAAGATGTTGTGCAACTCCTCGAGCCGAGGACTCGCGAACAGATCGCGATTTTCGCACTTCAACTCGAACTGTGAAATTTCATCAATATGTCAATTATTTGTGCATTTTTGTGCGATTTCGTTTTTTTTGTTTTTTTGCACACACCGTCAAAAAAGGCATCGCAGCTCGATCGGTGAGAACGTTCAGCAAGTGCTCGATGGTGTTGATGGCGCGGTTGATTATTTGCAGACCTAGAAGAGTCGTGGCGCATTTGAGAAAACGCGGCAGAACGTTCCCGGACACATCCTGAATGTTGCGACGTTGGGAGACGGTTCGCGCGATGTTAACGTAATACGAAGCGGTGATCGTGTGCACGCTCTTCTTAAGATCCGCGCGAACCGAATCGCAAAATCTGCAAAGCGCGAACTTTTATTTTTATTTATTTATTTATTTTTTTTTTTATCTTCTCCACTCGATCCGATCTGATTTATTGCAAAAAACAAATAGAAGGATACCTGTCGAAATTAAGAAAGTCGAGGGTGCGATAGCGTGCGAAGTCGCAAAGTATCTCCGGCAGAAGAAGATGCGCCTTAGCGACGATGCTTCTAACGAGCTGATGCGACAGGTAATACTGTTTGGAGAACGTGCAGCGATTTTTGAAAAATTTCGCGGCGAACTTCGTACGACCGGGATACTTGTAAGGCAAAATGGCGTACAGATCTTCTCTGCACGCGTCCTCGCACTCGATTAGTATCGCGCGACGTATCGTCAGCTCGCGCATCGTCTCGCAATACCTCTTCTTCAATTCCTGAATCTGCTCCTCGAGAATATCCGCGTACTTGCCGCTCGCATCCAATCGAACGAGCAATTTGCGAATGCCCCTTTCCCATTCCTGCAACACACGTTCGATATACTTTCGGTATCCCTTCTTTCCGAACAAATATACGATGTAATCGACTCAACTCACTGGAAGTAAGCCGATAATTGGCACTTCCTCGGCGGCCTTTTTCATTTCGCGGAAGCAATCGTTCTGCGACCTCACCGCTTCGATCCGACGGACGTACATCTTCTTTCTCCGATGGAGTCTTTTGGCTTTTGCCGTTGCCGCTTCCAACACATCTTGTATCTCTTTAGCGAACAACTTGCGTGAGACGTTGAATAAAAAAGTTGTGCTTTGTTAATTTACACGCGCACACGTGAAAAAGGTGAGTAACGATTATTTTATTATAAATTTACCTTTTCGAGTTTGTAATCGTGTAATTTTGATGATCGTTTCTCATTATTCGAAACGGTAATCTCCGAGGCATCCGGTTCCGAGGAACCGGACTGTCCCGTCATTATGTGAAAATTCGATCAAAGACAATATAGCGATTGGTTATTACTTTTTTTTTTTTATTTGTTAACTTAACGCGCTTTTTCCACCCTGTTTTACCCCAGGGTTGTCGTTTTTTTTTTTTGTTTAGCATACACGGGATATTAGGTTAAAACATGGTGCCGAATGATGTCACGAACAAAAGAACCTTGATTGAACTCACTGTTAAAGACACACTTTAGCCTAAGGCTGCGTTTCAATATTCACTGCCAGTACTGAAAATCTATGGCACATGTGAAGCAAAGACTTTTAATATGATTTTTAATTAATATAAACTGGATTGAATATCGAAAACGCAGCCTCGGCAACACGACGTGCATATTTTTCCGTGTGTAAAAAACAGAAACTCAAGTTGTCCGCATTTCTCGATGGACAAAACAAATATTTCCTGGTGAAAATATGAAAAATTGTATAAATTTTCGTGTCGTAGATTGTTGTAGAATTTATTGACCTAGTTCGCACCGCGATCGCTTATTAATACGCGTATCAATTATCACATTTCTAATAAAAATTGGCTTGGTCTCTCGATGATGTAAACGATGTCGTGTAATTAATCCGGTACGATATACGCCTTCTTCAGGCGTATCGTGTCAAAGTGATATCAAGCACCATTGGTACTGGTGCGAACAATCAGAATTATACGTTGAAAAACAAATTTTACTCGATTCGCGTAGCAAAAAAAAAATACGGTTTAAACTAGACCATTTTCGTCATGGTTTAAGTGAATTTATACAAACTCTTCAAACTTATAACTAGTTCGTAAACTTATTCATGTTTTATTTTTACACACCATCGACGTAGCGTAAAATTACAATTTTGTTTGTGTGTGTGCGTTTTTGCAGTATATATACATGCATAAACATATCAGAGATTTTTTTTTTTTTAACTACGATTAAAATCTTACAATTTAAGACACCGAACTACAAGGTACGTAAGGTAAGCAATTCATCGGCGGACAGGCGGACAAACATATTGGAACGGGCTGTTTGCTGGATGAACATTCACGTTGTGCGCCGCAGGACTGTGACATGTAACAAGGATAGACCGGTGGACAGATTTGGTTTTGGTACGACGGCTGGAAGTTGTACGTTCCCTTGCACCATAAGTTATTATTCGCTCTGTCCCAGGTATCGCCGCACGCGTTACTTTTTGCGGGTAACGTCGGATAAAAGGTGCAAACGGGTTTTCGATCGACACTTTTGGCGCAGGACAATGGTGCTCGTCGATTTTTGTCGCAGACCAATCTGCAATACGCGGCCAGAGCCGCCTCTCTGGCCTGATCCGCGCAGTAGAACTTCCTGAGAGCGGTCTCTTCGTCTCCCAAATCGGTCAATTTCAACAAAACCGCACGAGCCGGCTCGCAAACTGGATACAATTTAGTCATGCATTCCGGTCTGCCCATGCAGTCCCACATCATACATCTGTCTTGCAAACCGTTTCTTTTGATGCATTCGCATTTTAACAACATGCTTGCGCGTAAATCGAACAATTTTCCCCTCGCAGATTTCTGCAATGTTTCAATTGCTTTTAGTACGTCATGTGACTAGAAAATTTTTGTCTTAAATTTCAGATAATTCAAAATTTATGAAAATATTTTCAACACAGTTATGTTGTTAATTCTTAAAAAAAAAAAATTGCGCGAAGCTTGAAACGTTTTTTTTCAGAAGAGACAAACGACACGAAATAGAAACTCACTCTGCAGGGTGGAGAACACAAGAGCGATTCTACAGGACTGTATACCGCAGGTGCGCGAGGCGGTTCGTCCCATTCGCACGGTTTCCTGCGCGACACAGAAGATTAAGACACAGAAAAGGATCAAGAAACTCTGAAGAAAACTGAGGTTCGAATGAGATCTTACTTTCTCTCCATGGAGCTGATCAGACATTTCAATTGCGAGAGCAACTCGCGTCGTCTCTGGCAATTCTCACTCTTACCGTCACAAGACATTTTTTTCTAAGCGAGATTTATAAAACTTATCGGAAATTTTTCTTTAATTTAGACCGTTTCTTTGTGTGTTTTCCGATTTTGTGTACTACCCTACATTTTCTATACTTTTATCTTACGAAACTAATAAACGCGGCGCACGTAAAATTTTGAGATCGTGTGTAAAATGAAATAAATTTGTAAATTTAGATAAAGGAACGTGCTGGAATCATAATTGTCAATTTGTGGAAACTATCGAGTTTCCTAGCAACTGTGTATCGCATGTGTCGACAAACATTTGAAAAGGATCGTATAAACTATATTTTTTATACAATTTGTGTATTAAAGATATTGCAAAGTTTTATTTTTCGACAATCATATATATATATATTTACACGCACGCGCAATGCACATTTCTTCTCACTCTTTCTATTACATCACATTATACAGTAGGATGAACGAATTTGTACGCATCTTTTCTGAGTTTTAACAAGATACCTTCTTCGTTTAATTTCGATATCAAAGCGGGAAAATCGGTTGTCGTAATTCCTGCGATCTCGATCGCAAGCGTCTTCAAGTCATTTACCGAAAGTATTCGTTCTTTATCTTTGGTTACCTTGTCTTCCAATGCCTTTACAAATCTTTTAATCTGAAAAGAAAATAATTCATGTATAAAATAAAAATAGAATATATATAAACATATTATATAAAAATATGTATGTTTTTCTATAAACACGTAACACTTACTTTTCTCGTTGTCAATTTATTACCGTCGGAACTCAATGCCGATGTTATACGATCCTCCAACGTGTCTGTGATTGTGTATCGCATTATATCTATCACGTCCAACGCATCCGATTCAGTAGCTTCGACACGTAATTCCAGCTTTGCTCTAGCCTGCAACAAACCGATATATTACAAAAATACCTTAAAAACATTATTTCCATAAGATTTATTTATCAGAAACCGACTTCGGTCAATCGAATCATCGCTTCCAACTGTCTGTTAAACACCGGTACGCTGCTACTTCTCGATCGGAGTTCCAGATAATATTCTTGTAACACCGCAGCAGCTCTGGCAGATAACTTTGGCTTTACGTACTGTCGCGCGTAAGAAATGTAGGCTCGAAGAATCGATTGAGGAATAATTTTAGTTGACAGTGGTAACTTGAGTCTCTTTCTGAAACGTTAGAAATAGAATTAAGTTTTTGTTTCCCTCAAAGACAAAACTGAACTGGTACAACAAAATGCTGGTAAATAACTTCTGTGTACCTCAAGGAAGATTCATCGCCCGGAGAGGACTCTATTGCATCCCCGTCGGAATTCTCTTGCGTATTAGTGTAAACGGTCATGATGTGTTTGCACAATTGATTATCGAAATTCTATTAAATAAAACAAACAATACCGCAACATATTTGTTTTACACACATCGAGGATACTGATTGTAAACTTAAATTACTAATGTTTATTTACTATGTCTGGCTCATCCAATAATAAAAAGATCAAATCAAACCGCGAGAGAATCGGTTGACTGATGTTCAAATTTTCAGTCATCGTTTTGCTCTTGTCGTATTGCCCTCCCACGGGATTAGCCGCCGCGAGGATCGATGTTCGCGCGGGAAGGGAACACATCACACCTGACTTCGCAACAGTCACACTTTGTTGCTCCATCGATTCCAATAACGCCTGGATTAAAAATAAAATTCAAATAAAAATAAAATTTTCACACAGATTAAAAAATCATCTCTTCCGATTAATATTTATATTACTTTATTATTATTTATATTATATTTTATTTATATTATTTTACCTGGTGCTGAGTCTCCATTTTGTCGAACTCATCGATGCAACAGCAACCTTGATCCGCTAAGACCAAAGCGCCAGGTTCTAAGGCGAAGTCGTTCGATCCCGATTCTTTTGTAAGAGTCACCGTCAATCCGGAAGACGTGCTCGAATTGCCGCAAACATACACACCTTCAACATAACGTTACATCTTTCTCCGTATATACATTTTCATAATAAACACATAAATATGAAATCTATCTTTTGAAGACAAAAGTAACCATTTTCTCACCTTTTGTACATATTCGCGCGCACGCTTGCAACATCTGCGATTTGCCAAGACCCGGATCTCCGACCAGCAGAATGTGTATATCGTTTCGTAATTGTGCGTGTTTCGCATTGCCTCCGAATAAGCTCAATATCAGACCAGCTTTTACCATCTCGTGCCCATATATAGAGGGACACAACGAATGTACTAACAGCGCGAAAATATTCGGCTCTTTGTACATGTCCTGAAAATAAAACAACGTAAAAACAATAATTCTGTGACTTTTAATGGCAATTTGTTATTATCGTGTCTCAATGTATTGCGTTGATTTACCCGTATAGCTAAATGAGTTTTTAAAGATATTTCATCACTCATGGTGCTTTTATTCTCGTATCTGTGCTTGTTGTTGATAACAGTTATTGCTTTCATGTACAAAGGAAACGGAGTTCCAACTTGAACTTTGGTTTTACCATCGTCAACTCCCTGTACCTAAAGTAAAAAAAACAAACTTTTATCATATTACTTTACTTTTGTTTTTGTTTTTACTTTAGCACTAAGTAACTGTAATCAATTAATCACCTTGATTATACCAGTGAGCGTTACATCGTCTCCGGGCATACAAATGTTAACTAAATCGTCCGTAAGTTCCACATCAAGGACTTTGGGCACTTTGCCTTTGTTCTCCTGCTCGTCATTTAATGGCTCTTGTATTCTGATCACTTGAAACATGATGCTCTTCACACAAGATGAATCCAAAACCGGATAAAACTTTGACACGCCACAGACATCGCATTTTTTCGGCACCTTATATATTCCCTGGGAATGTTTCAGTTTTTGCAAATGGCACTTCGAACAAGCAAACACCATCCATTGCGCGAGATGTTTTATTCTGCCAACTCTTATTACACAGCCTCTAGTGGCTATCATCTTTTCTGGAAAGATTTCCAACAATTATTTTTACAACAATTGTATATCTAATGCAGCACAAAAAAGAAAGACCGTAAAAGGCCAAATATAATTTTTCTGTACACGTACCATAACAATTTAGCTTGAGATCTCGCAGACATACAACTGGTTGATAATTCAATATGCCCAATTTGATTGTGGGCAAACTGCTGATAGATTTCAAAACATACTGCAAATTTTCTTCCGACACTGTCTCCAGAATTTTCTAAAATCATGATACAAGAACACATACAAACCATTGAACACATACAATTTAAAAAGTATTCTACAATATATAGAAAAGACAAGAAAATACCTGATAAATAACAAGTTTCATACAATTTAACGTGGTTATTGGATTCTCGTGTATTTCATCCTTAAAATCTGGCCATTGCTGTACAAATTCATTGTCATTACATAATTCACAGATGTCAATGTCGAAGGACCTTCCAGCCTCCAAATTTGTCATTGTGAACAATGAAGACAACGAATGATTCCTCTCCACAAATCCCTCTATAGCTTTAATTTGTTTCACAATGGCACAATTGGTTTTATATTCTGTGTTCCAACGGAAATAAATTTATTAAGATTAGCTCCAAGATAAAGATATGTTTCAAAATCATCTTTCTCAATTATTTATATATATGAATTATTATATATTACCTGTATCAGGAAAAAATAACCGCCATCCGTAGTATGGGATATTCTTGTTTCTACCCACATCGAGATTACTTGGGCTACGATTCGAGTTGTCTGGAGCTAAACCAATGTAAATATTCACACGTTGTAATGTATTTTAAAAATATTTTCGCACTCTTTAAAAGAATTTCAAAAATTGTTAAATAAATATTATTACTTACGCGGTTTATCATGTGTGACGGTTTGCTTCGCTTCTTTCTTTCTTTTCTTATAAAAATTCGTTTTATCGCCGTCTCTCCATCTTTTTTTATGAACCTTCGTCCTGTCGTCCATGATCACTTGTCAAAAACAAATGTATTTTAAATACTGTTTGAACAACAAATGATTTTTAAACTCTCAGTAACAACAGAACACAGCTGGGCGAGCGACCAATGTGAAGCAGATTTTAAGCCTCGTGTTCATGACGACCGAAACACAGTTTCGTGGATCGACCAATCGTATCGGTCGGTTGACCGAATTGTGCGAACGCGATTGGTCAATTTCTCGAACCTCGGTTTCCCGCCTTCGTGGACGCGAGACTTTATTTTGCTGAAAACCGACCCTGCGATTTACACATGTACTATGTACAACATCGCGACAGATATACAATCGTGCGCGTATGTACGCTGACGTTAAAATTGCAAACAGGACTGGTTTCCAACTGTTTCAAGTGGTCTCTCGAGCTCTGTCATGTTCAGTGACGTTTTATTCTGATCGGTGCCGAACGGGGTACACCAGTATGTAAATAAAGTTCACACAAAGCGGATCACATTCTTCGTGCCGACAAATCATCCAAAAACGTTGATTTACTTATGCCGTGGCACGTAGCAACAGCAACGTGATCGTTAATCGCCGCGTTTACATTTGACGTCGTCGCACGTCAGTTGTGTCGTCGCCACCGTTCGGCCCGTGAACGTGTGTGTTGCAAGGTTCTACGCTCTTTTCTACGTATACACGCACTCGACACACTTATTCTTTTTAGGACTCAAACAAATCGTGCCTCTCGCGATCCGCAATGGCGGAGACGAACGAGGCCGCGAATTTAAACACGAAGAACGGCAATTTTATTTGCGGCGTGGTGGAAGGTAAGGCGAAAGTAAGGCGTATCTTTTTTTTTTGACACACTCGTCGTGTCTTTGCGCGAATAAGTAATTTCGTAAGATTCGAGAACACACGGTATCGCGTGCAACGCGCGCTCGCTTTTTTTTTTTTTTATAACTTTTACACTTGTCCGCGCGTATGCTGATGTGTGTGACGTATTTTCTGAGTTTTTTTATTTTCAGGCTTTTACGGCCGACCATGGACAACCGAGCAACGAAAGGATCTCTTCCAGAAGTGAGTATCTTCCTTTCTTGTGGAAGTGAAAGGAACACACACCTGCCAATATTTCAAGTATCCACAACTACATTTCTTCTCATTGTTACTTTTCTGTTTTCTGTTTTCGTTTAAACATTTCATTTTGTTACTGCAAATTACATTCATGAATAATGAAGTAACAATATTAATTGAATTTGCGCATGTTTGTTAGATTAAAAAAATGGGGAATGGACTCCTACTTGTACGCCCCAAAAGATGATTACAAGCACCGTGCTTATTGGAGGGATCTTTACACGGTGGAGGAGGCCGAACATTTAACTGGTCTAATCACAGCAGCTAGGGAGTACGGAATAACGTTTTATTACGCTTTATCTCCGGGTTTAGATATCACGTACTCCAGTTCGAAAGAAGTGACCGCCTTGAAGAGAAAATTGGAACAAGTCAGTCAGTTCGGTTGTACGGCGTTCGCGCTGCTATTCGACGACATAGAACCGGAAATGAGCGAGGCTGACAAAGAAGTGTTTCAATCTTTCGCACAAGCTCAAGTACGTGCGCAAAGTAATATGAAATATGAGTAACTATAACGCACATATTTATGTTTTTTTTTTTTTTTTTCGTCAATTGCAGGTCTCTGTTACGAATGACATTTTTCAACATCTCGGTCAACCACGTTTCCTCTTATGCCCCACGCAATATTGCGCGACGCGCGCAATGCCGAACGTCACGTCTTCGGAATATCTCAACACTCTCGGTAGTAAATTGGCTCAAGAAATCGACATAATGTGGACCGGGCCCAAGGTTATATCGAGACTGTTGACGGTTGAGTCCATCGAGGAGATCACAGAAGTGCTCAGAAGGCCACCCGTTATTTGGGATAACTTGCATGCCAACGACTACGATCAGAAGCGAGTGTTTCTCGGACCGTACGCCGGTCGTTCTCCCGATCTTATACCTAAACTCAGAGGAGTTTTGACTAATCCGAATTGTGAATACGGCGCGAATTTTGTAGCGATTCATACATTAGCACAGTGGAGCAGATGTAACGTTGATGGAAAAAGAGACCCAAGTTTAAGTATGTGTATTTTACAGCGTCTATATTGATGAAAAAAAAATCAATGAGAGATTATTTTACATTGCAGATGACACACTATCGGCAGATATTAAATTAGAAACTGAAACAGAGGATGGCGTTCTAGGTGAAGACGTTCCGTCGACACTGTCGCCGAACATGTATCATCCCCGACACGCCCTGAAGAACGCGATATGCGAGTGGCTGTTGGAGTTCAACAAGAAAAAAGCGGCTTGGGGAGTGATAGCCAAGCCTCAGCCGTGCGTCGCGCCTACGATACCCATTCCTATAATTCCTTCCGTTAATACGTGCATGAGTCTTACGTCGACGACCACGACCACAGTTCCTGCCACACCTACCCCCGTGGCGAATTCCAATCATCTTCAGGCCCTGGCCGAAGTTTGCTCAAGTGTGACGAGTGTCGACAGCTTCGCGCAACCTCCGTCCGGTCCTGTGATGAACTCTCTGGTGTCGAATATAAAAGTGGTCAGCGAGCCCGTTCTGACCACGTTATCCTCGGCGACTATAAGCGGCGAACCATCAGCGGCGTTGTCTTCTATGGAACCTATGGATTGCAACACAACTCCGAACAATTCACCGGCGCATATCGCGAAAATACCTACGGACGACGATGCTATGGTAGATAACATTTCTGTAAGTTTTTACGCAATTTTGCACGATTGATTATGCATGTATAATTTGTGCGGTATCTGTTTGCTAGACGTGCAGCGAGACTTCCGGAAGTATGCAGGTGGAAGTGGACAGCACTTCTCCCACCGTGAACGGCACGCAGATGATAATCGAGAACGACATCGAGAATCACGAGAGTTCCTCCGACACCGCGGACTCGGCGTCTCAGGAACCGGTGGACGTCGATAAGCAACTCACGCACGAGGATCTCTCGCTTCTGTGTGATCTGTTCTATCTGCCGTTCGAGCACGGTGGTCAAGGAATTCAGTTGCTACAAGAATTCAACTGGTTGAAGAGCAATGCTCACGTCGTCATAAAAAAATCGAAGGAGGAAGAACAGGTGTCTGAATCGGATGTGAGTCACAAACACACAAAATTTGTACAAAGTTCAAAATTACGACATATAGGATATGTGTGTAAGCGCTTGCAAATATGGTTTTAGATCGAAGAATGGCACCAACGTGCGGCCAAATTGAACGACATGTGTAACGCGGTAAACAGATTATTCCAAAGACTCACGTATTGCAACAATCGTGAGTTGTTGTACGATCTATATGCGTATGTATGGGACATGAGGGGAGTTGTGTCTCTTCTAAATAGTTACGTGAAATGGCTAGGTAAGTTGCAATTCGCTCATATTTGTTCACGTACATATGAAAGATATTATCTGATATATTGACAATATACAAAAACAACTTTGAGAGAGACAGACCGAATTGTAAATCATATATAACAAAAACGCAGTAGTTTTGTAAAAAAAAAAAAAATCATTTGCAGATAAAATTAATTTATTACAATAATAAATATGTAATATTTTTATGACAATAATAAATTCGGAAATGACTAATAATTTTATATATAGTCTCTACAAAACTTGTTTCTATTACTTTGAGGAGTTAAAATAATCCATTTTCTCAATTTTACAAACTACGCGATTAAGTAATTTTACTGCAATACAAATGATACATATTTTTGATTCTTGTCACATATCAGAAATATACATGTATAAAATATAAATCTTCAGAATAAAGAATTGATACACATTTATTATTATTAATATCACACGGAAAGAAAGTCAATTCGAAATGCTAGTATGCTGGTACAAAGATACATGAATGTGCAAAGTCGATGTTAAGTTTCTAAATACTATTTATTTGGTCAAATATTCCCTCCGCGATTTTTGACCTTATTATTATTATTATTTTTTTTTTTTTTTTCTAACGACGAACATTTTTTTATCTTTCAAGATTTAATTTAATTTCTTTTTCGCGACATCTTGAATTTGATCGAATATATTCAAATTTACATTCTCATACTTCAAACGAGTGCTGTTGTTGACTTCTCTCTTAGAAATATTATAATTTATTATCTATACTTGTATTTCAGAACAAAACTGTCTTGAGTATTGGTAAGTGAACGTTATCTTATGTTTTGTTATATAGTTTTATCTTTTTACAAGGAAAGGTATTGTGTTTTAACGTGACTTGATTTTAACATTACAAAATGTGGAACAAAATGTTGCTTATATATTTCTATTTATTATTAAATATCGTAATGTTTAATATATTGATTCTTTATACGTAAAATAAGATCTGAGATAAATCTCAGAGTTATAAACATATACATTTATAATATATCTAGTCTATATTATAAATGTTTACTGATAGAATATTCTTTGTAAAAAAAAACTATTTCGATATTACAATACATACGTTGCTGTGTGTAATAATTGAGTTATTTCCTTGTAAATTGATGCAACGTATTCTCTGGCAAGAGATCTTCCAAAATATGTATATCTGCTCTTTGAATCCGTAAATTACTGATTGTTTGACAAGTAACTTTACACAAATGTACGTTTGCTTCTTTTTCACATACTATTTGACATCATTCGTGCGTGCTGGTGAAAGAACAGAAAATTTACACGCTCTTTTTTGTTTGCAAAATAATTTGTAACAATTTTTTCGATTGAAATTTAATATGTTTGAAAAATTTACAGCTTTCTGTGAAAGATTGTTATTTTAGAAAGTGATAATTTTATTGTTGTCGATATATAAAATGTTTGTGTTTTGTTATTTACTGTATATTGTTAAAAAAAAACTTGTATGACGTCAAATATCATCGAGACTATCAGTAATATTCGGAAGCGCGTACGCTATGATCTGCATATTTTTTAATTTCAGTATATAACATGCATTTGTTTCTGCGCATTAGAGATAAATGCATTCGCATTGCGCGCGCGGTAAGGAAAACTTACGTCGCCGTAAGTCAGAATTACAACAATATGAAAACAATCAATACAACGTATCGCGCACATCTCTAATCTCGTCAGATTTCTTTCGCGAGCGAACGAATTTGTGTGTGAGTTTGGCACAAAATGCGTTGCGAGCACGCGATTTATTTGAGTCTTTGATTTATTTGATCTTCGGTTGAGTCTTTTTTTTAATTTCAACGTTTTTTTCTATTTGAAAAAAACGGATTCTGACTAATGGCCGCTGATTTATTTTGATTATTATCCTAGGCAAGCCACAACATCTGTCTTATTGCTTTCAATAAAATGTACGTGTTGGTTTTTTTTTGTTCGACAAAGCTAACACGTGTCAAGTAGATGAACACGTCTACTTCATGTGTGCAAAAAAAAATAAAAATAAAAATAAAACAAAAACAAAAAAAAACAGTTGCTTGTTGATTTTTTAATCCAACTCGTAACACGCAGATGACATACAGTCTGATCGAAACAAATTGATGTGGCTTTCCCGCGCGAATGGCAAACTACCAAAAAAACAATGGTGTAACACCCAAGTGGCGAACGGTTCGAGATTTAATTTTGTGAGATGACACTCAACAGCATCTTTACGGAACGTGAACGTAATACGTGAATTTGAGGAATAATCTTAATACCAGCTATTAACACATCGATCGACTTTCTTTACAGATTACAATGAAGCAGGAGTGTGTTTTGTATATCAGTTTTTGTCGTAAGAGTTGTTTTTTTTTTTTTTTTTTTGTTTTTTTTATTAAAACTACATTTGAAAAGATTGGGGCGCAATACACAGTCCCAGTTCATTGATGGATTTTCTCCCTGTCAAATATTTTGTCAGAATCAACGTGTAGATGATATAAGCGACCTGTAAGCGAACATCCTCCTGCGGAATATAAATGTATTCAGGATTTGTACAGCTTTGATTCACATTCATTAACTCGCATTTCTGTGTTTTTTGTCCTGTTGATAGCGTTTGGCAGATTCCCATCGACGATGACGACGTTTACCCAGGGCAGCTACACATGTATGCGGTTCACCACTCTTTGAGTAACATAACAGAAAGCGCGCGAAAAATAACAAAGTTTCAAACATTGCAGTGTTTATAGATGCATTTCTCTAAGTCTTTGTTTGGGACTTTACCAAAAAAAAAAAAAAAAGAAAAAAGAAAAAGAAAGAAAGAAACAAAGAAATCTCGTTTTTTTTTCTTTTGCAATAAACAAGAGAGATGCGCAAATAGAAGCGGCGTTGCAACAACTCGAAAAATCAACGTGTGCAAAGCGTGTATATTTTTTGCGTGTCGCTAATATGGATGGACGTACTTCCATATATGTATTCGCAAATATAGCGTATATATCGTCTCTGATCACGTGCATTTTGTTCTTCACGTAAATAGCAAAACATAGCATTAATTGTTTTATACTGTTTGCACATGCAATGTCTCCAGATGATAATTTTATATCGTATCGAGTATTTTATTTTATTTTTTTTTTTTTTTCAATTTGATTAATTTCTCACATTTCACGCAACCGATATTAGATCAGAAGTAGGTCCATCGATTCAATTAGATGTAATTGGCACAATTTAGCAAACCAGAAAGTTATTTATTTATAAACTCTTGAACTTCTGTCTAAGAACTGCCTTTGATCATTTGTGATAAAAAATACTTTCCCAAAATTTTTACATCTTCACACAACTGTATGTTTTTTTGCGTATATGGGGACGCGCGCGCATGTGTGTGTGTGTGTGTGTGTGCGTGCCTGCCTGTGTTGCGTGTCATAAAAACGGATCAACAATTATTTACTATGTGAACAATATGTATACGTTTATCCTAAATGATCAACCATACCGTCTTCCTTTTGCCAACTTGCCTACATGTACAGTATACAACTACGTTGTATATTTATTTTGTTTACTTTTTCATACTATATATCTAACTATGCTCCTTTTTCAGGCGTAATTTTATTTCAGACACACATTTTGGCAAACTGGATTTATCACCCTGTTTTTCCTACATCCCAAATTCAGATTTTCAAGAGTTTATCATTGCGCGAACTTTGGTGCAGCATTTGCGACACACTAATTGTTTTTGTTTCACGACATTAATGTCAGTTTTTGAGTAAATTATTCTGTTCTCGTAATAATTGTAATTAAACTTTTCTCAGATCTGAAATATTACGCAGTTCTGTGATGTACATACATAAATATGTAATATATATATATATTCCAAAATATTTTTACTGTAACTTTTACACGTGAAAAATATCTGTTTCTTTCGAATATGTATAAATTATTACGTTATTTATATTGATGCACCTTGGTTAATCCGACTGGATGGCGTCTTCTTACTCTTGACGTGAATGAAAAGGTGTATATTGCAAGATAAACAAGAGAAAGAAACGCGACGTTCTTCAGTCGAAATTCTATTTCTGCATGTTGAAGATTAAACAAAATTGATGCCTATAGCAGTGGAAGCCAATTGAAAAGCAAAGTACATGCAATATTACGCGCGCGCGACATTTTAGCTCTGACATTGCGAGGTTTGCATTAAAAACTGGTTTTGTTGTCTCTCGGGACTTAGGGTTCTCGAACGGTTGGAAAGAAACGTTTATGAGCGGAGATCAGGAGCCATGGGTTTTTCGCGGTGGACTTACAGCTGATTTGCAGGTGCATGTTATTTCTTGTCTATGTGCGCTTGTCTCGCAACTCACAGTCCGAGATTACGAGAATGATAATGTCGCACTGAAATATGTCGTTCTTTTTTGTGCACAGCGATTGATCCCGGTGGACAGTGGTAACGACTTGTTCGTTTATAAAGCACCAGAAGTGCCCAGTAGCAAAATATACACAATTCGTCCGTACTTGCCGAGCGACGAGCAAGCGGTTTACGCGGTGTGCAATCAGATTAACAATTGCACCTCTTCGTCAGCCGTAGCGGAGAGGTACAGAACATTTTTATACGTGCGATAGATTGGCGCGATCTTCTCGTGTGAAACCGTTGTACGACTGGATATGTTTATTTTTAGATACGTCGGAGGATACTTGACATTGAGTCCGGAATTGTGCATGATTGTCGAGGACGAGAACGGTATAGTGGGTTACGCGGTCGCCACGCTGAACGTAAAAACCTACAATCAGAAGATGACCGTTTCCTGGATCCCGGAATTGCGAATAAAGTATCCCTTGAACAGCATCATCAGCGAGATGCCGCAAAACATTCAGGATGCAATACAGTACTTCCACTCGTTCATTCCCGATGTTTCGGAACAACTGTGCAGACAACACCCGTCGAAGCTCGCGTGCGCCGTTTTGCCGAGCGTAACGGATCAATCAGTTTGTAAACGTTTAATAACCTGCGTTCTTGCGGCTTTAAGAGCAAACGGTGAATAATCTGTCTCTTAAATATAATAAACATTGAGGATGTTTAATTTTAGATTACAACGATAATTAATGGAAGTCGTATGGGACGTGTTTCAGGTTCTTTCGGCGTACATACAACGATGTTGTCAACGGACAAAGAGTCTCACGAGTTCTACGGAAAATTAGGTTTCGTCGATTTAAATCCGGTTCACGAGGAGCATCCCGGAATTAAAACGATGTGCAGAAGTTTCTAACAGAGAATCAGTACCCCGGTAATCTTTGTTAACAAAGTATACCTGCTCCGATCTAAGAAGTCGATGATTTCCTAGTGTTTAAAGCAAAAGACTACTACTAATACTAATTAATTAAAAACGCCTTTGTTTAAAAAAAAAAAAAAAAAAAACAACAGTTGAAGCGCAAACACACCAATAGGATAAAAGAAAAAAGTAAGTGTACTTCACTCGGAAGTATGTTACGACTAGATATTGGTAGGTAATTATTTGACGACGCACGCACTCTCGATCCTTTCTCGTAGTATTGCTACGTCTGGACGTTTGATACAATTGTATACATATGTACATATAAAAGGTACAAAATGTGTGTGTGTGTGTGCATGTATGATGCCGAGTTTTATTATCGAAGTAGTAATATTACCGCTGTGTCTCAGTAAAAAAAAAGAAAGACGAGCGTACATAGTGCAATAATCGGACTAGTTTTTACACACGCAGCATAAATAAATTCAATTTTTTTCTTTCTTAAGCGTCATTATATATATATATGTATACATACATACATAGTACGGTGTATTACAACACACACTTCAGTATTGCAATTGTTCGATGCGCCAGTGTGTATATAAAATTCTGAATAGCGCGTGATGAAATGCCGATATGTGTGTTCATTAACAATTCGCCTAAAGAATGAAACAAAAAAAAAAAACGTTCCAGTTGAGCAACAGTCGAACTCAAAAAGCGCAATGTTGTAACGAGAGCAATAGCTGTGTTTATATATAATCTCGTCTCTTATACTCGTTTATTAGGATATTGAAAAACAAAGTGCACGGTTGTCTCTGTCGCAAGCTAATTAATCCACAAAATATGTACAGAATTGATATATATATCACACGTATATATATATATATATGAATGGTTGTCACAGTAAGGCTATAACGAAACTCGCGATTATGAAGCGCGCATCTTACACACAAATTTTTCGTCTTATATTCATTCGACATATTTGATTACAGGAATTTTTTGTGCTATATATATATTTCAAGAGACAAAATAGTTCTTCAAAAAAAAAAAAAAAAAAATCTTGTACAATAGATAATTTTCTGCAAATTTTATCACGAGGCTTGATTCCAGTGCCACATGTACAAAAAAAAAAAACAGAAAGAACGCGTCGAAAACGTGTTTTGCGGTGTTGTGTGTACACAACAGGACGCGCGCGAGCGCACACTTATACACATTACACACACAAATATTGAATTTATATATCCATTACACCACATTTATGTGTAGTTCGATGATTATACAATATATATATATATATCGCTTTTAGGATTTTTATACTGAATATCTAGTGATAACATATAGAGAAAATTGTGAATGCACTAGCAGAAAACTCTGGGAAAGTATTAGGTCTCAAATCAATGACATTTGCGAGCATGTTTAAAATATTATTTAAATCTTTTTTTTTTATTTTTTTTTATTTTTATTATTCCGTACTGTTGTAATAACACTGGTGGTGCGTATTGCGTGTGTATACATCCAGTCGGTTCAGATGTTCAATAGAACACGTTGCTTTTCTGCTGACAAAAAATAATATTAAAATTAGTTTTTTTTTTTCTTTTTTTGACATAGACTGGCAGAGTTATATGTACTCGCATATATGAAATGATATAACCGCAGAATCTTCAAGTTATTTTCCCGATATCTCCATTATGTGGAGAGTTTGAAGTTCGTCTGATAACGAACGGAATTATCTCATGTGCTAATACTGTGGGTGTGAAATTACATTAGAATACATGTGATTAGTACTGTTTTATTTTACAAAATAAACACCTCGAGAGACTGACATTGAGCTTGTTTGGAACTTTTTATGCGGAAAATGATAAATAGGTGAAAAACCACAATAGAATCGGGCTGAAAATCACGAAGATGGATGCAAGGAATTTGCTGGAACCAGTGATATCTCGTTGATTCTTCTTAAATTCTGAATCTCCGTTTGATAACGCGACAGCTACGAGAAATACAGATCGAGGTAGATTTAAAATAATTTATAAGCAACGGACACTATAAATTTATTGCAATAAATATAATTTAATTTATAACCTTTTCAATTTCAGCTTGCAGATACTTTTGATTAGATTTAGGCGTCAATACTTCTGAAGATTTTTCAAGTTTGAGCGTTTGCAAAAATTCTGATAACTCTTGAATTCTCGCATTTATATTTCTAAAATTATATATTTAAAAGTTTTATCGGTTGTATCGTTTGTATTACGTGTATATTGTTTGTCACACTTACGCTGGTGAGATAAATCTTAATTTTTCTTGTTTCTGCTTATCCACGTTTTTCCCCTAAAAATATGAACGAAAACTTTTTAATTTCCGTTTTACTTCTCAGTAATTTTAAAATGAAACACAGATAATCAAATAATCTTTCCATACGTTTTGCGATCGTTTTTGTATCACAGGGTAATCTTCAATGTCGATTGCATACGGAATGTCATCTAATAAATAACAATATTTTGTACAGGTTTTACAGATTCCGCTTTTTTTTGTGTCACATATAATAACGATTAACATTTTATTGTTACCTTCATTTCTTCTCGATACTTTTTCCATGCTTTTAACGTAACTTCGCCTGTCGCGTCTCCATTCTTTCACAACGTTCGAATCCCTGTACGTATAATTTAATTTTTTAATTCGAAAATATAGTTTTTTTTTTTTTCATGTATTTATTAACATTTTGTGCGCAAGAAGATGGCTCACTTGATTCTTTGAATTGTTGCCGATTGCGCGCTGAACAGGTCTCTCACTTTAGAAATTAATTGCCGACGCTGTTCCATAGCGATGATAGTGGTCTCTTTGGCGTCGCATCTAAACGAACACAATCGCACGTTTTTTCATGTATAGCAATAAGATTTTATACAATCGGCAAAATAAAAAAGACAAAGTGCGTTGCTCAAGATGAATAATTCAATTGGTCTTGATATCGAGATAATTTTCTAAACACAACAACATGGTTCGCGGATCTTTCAATTGCATCGGGCGCAAATGCATTCTTCGCATGTCTCTCGTGACGATATCGAAAACCACTTCCGCGCGCTCATTATCTTTGCATCTTTTTTTCTCCTCTTTGAACATCACAGAATTATTCGAGTTGCTCGTCGACGTGATGTGTTTCGTCTCATTGCTGATTGTTTTGATTCTACATTCCCTGGTGCTGTGACGCTTATACGTTATCAATTCGGTAACGTGCCGTCTAACGTAACACGATCTGGGCGACGGCCCCGTCAGATGCAGAATCTTCGCATCCGCTCCAACAACTTCCTTCTTGTCGCAAGTTTTCCCGATCTCGTGACACGAAGTTGTCTTGTTTAAAAACACGCGCTTTTTATCGTCTCTTTTAATCGGAGTGTTATTTGCACCACCTTTGTTCTCTTTCTTATTGGTTTCGTTTTTGGAGTGAAGAAAGTCAGCGCACGGAGTGACAGTCCGAGCGCACGAGAGAGAACTCGTCGCAACATCGTCGCGCGTATCGCTGATATTGGTTACCGATCGTTTCATAGTGTTAAGATTACCGTACCTGTTGCTGGGTCTGTAAGCTCTGGCTCTTTTTGTGGCGGAAGCGCTTTTGAGCGAACCACCGATGTCATTCATACTCTTCGACATGTGCCTCGGTACTTTCGACAATTTCCGTTTTTTTTCGCGAGGTGATCGGTAACACAGAATCGTCGATAGTTTCGGTTCTATCTTCGCTAAAACAAATTCATATAATTCTATTTCTTTTATACACTGACACAAATTTTAATTAAATTATTTAAGAGAGACAACGAGTTTCTTATATTGTGCGATTGAAATTTCAATTTAAATTATTTTTAATCGCATAATCTTACGTTCTACGAACGTCGCGGGCTCGTCTGGATGCAGTTTGTTCCATTCATCCCTCAGGTAACTGAGAATACTCGAACATCCGAGAGCTATAACGTTCTTCGGAGGCGTATTGATAGGATTGCGTGCCACACTGAGAGTTTTGAGATTGGGCACTAAGCCTAGGAAAATATATTGGGCCAGAGTTATAATAAAATCTACATATCAAACGCGTGTCTCTATTTACTTACAAAGTTCCAGAGGCAATTTCTCGATTTTATTTCCCTCCAGCAGGATAGTCTCCAGCGATGGATGCGACTTGATACTCGCGGGCAAGCTTGTCAGTTGATTGTTTCGAACATCCAGCCATTGCAAGTTCGTTAATAAGATAAAAAGCTCTTTAGGAAGTTCGGGAAGATTGTTGCTCTCTAGATACAACATCTTGAAGACAAGCAAAAGAAATTATATTGCGAGGATCTAAGTGTTAATTATTGAGAATCTAAAAATGGAATCCTCGTACGTGTTGTTAATTATCAATATTACAAATTTTGTTCGCAGTTTATCGTTCGTACTTGTATCGTAGGATATTTCTCGATCATTTCGTAAGGAAGTGAGGTAAGACCAGCTCTTGTTAGATCGATAAAAGTTTCGTTGTACACTGGAGTCTTATCTGGCAGTGTTGAAGATAAGGTCAATATGTTCGAAGATTTCTTTTCCTCCGTTCCGGAAAAGGAAATATCCGAGGCGCTGTCCGTCGGCAATGTGTCCTCGCTGAACGAGAGACACGAATCCCCTTTGTTGTTTTCGAAACCTCGTTACGTGTCATAATAAAAACGATGTTATAAAACACATTTTCGTAAGAAAAACTATTTGCTCCTCCCACACACAGGAACAAAAACTCCAGTCTTAGACATCCATCAGACGTAAACAGCTCTATACAATGTTTAATGGAGTTTTTGCACGAGTGTGAGATAATTATCGTAAATTATGATAAACGATTCACAACGCACATTCTGTGCGTTTTTTTTTACCTGGAGTGGTGGAAATAGTCTTGTTGTTGTGCAAGGCAAGACCATCTTTGCTCGAGAGAGCAAGCGAATCTTCGATATCTGCTTCAAAAATGATATCGAAATTGAACGACGTATTTGTGTCATCTTCGAGTAATTTACTGTCTAATCTTTGCAAAGATCTCAGTGGAACATCTGTATCACACGTTGTGTTTTTATTCTTAATGTTCTCCTACATCATGACATGACGTAAAGACGTTACGTGTACGTGTACGTGTGTGTGCGCGCGCGTGTGGTTTTTTTAGTTTTTTTTTTTTCAGAATTTATTGCATTTTCACATTACCTGTTCTTCCGTTTCCGTGTTATCGCTGTTCGCATCTTCGGTCGATTGTTCGCAGATCAACTTCTCGTTTTCCTCAGATTCCACGCACTCGTGAATCGCAAAGGACTTTTCCGCCGAGTCCTTGGAAGATTCATAATACCGCTCCAGAAGATGATCAGCAGGATTCAACATGATAAAAAAAAAAAAACTGAAAAATACTATTCAACACGATAAACTGACGACTCTCTCAACATCCCGTTGTTTATTTTCACGCACATCACCTAGGTGATCGGTCTCTACGATATATATATATATATATATATATATTGCACTTGATGGAAACTACAGGAATCTATCTTAAAGATTTACCGCTTTTATTTTAATTTTCTTATGTATATAAAAATTTGAACAAAAAACTTAAACGTTCGAAATTCAAGCGGTTCGAGTAATTTTATATCGAACGTCGATTTATATATATCGAAAATCTGACAAATGTCACACGCATGCGTCAGAAACGTTATCGACCACGTGACCGACTTCGACGAACATATGATTCTGGCAGATGTGACAGATCTTTTAACCTCAAACGTCACTTTGAACGCTCGATAATTCTCTCTTCGCAGGACAAAAACAGAGCGTTACTTTTGCGATTGTTGAGTTTCACCCAAGATGGACGTCGTTTTGTTGCTAATCATCGCCGGAGTGATTACAATAGTACTCTTAATTATCATTTATCTACAACATAGATTCGGTATGTTTACTGAAAGCTTGCACGTCAACAATTAGAGAAGTGGCGTAGTTTTGTTTCACTGTGTGTGTAAAACTTTTGATATTTTTAGGTGGCCAGAAGACCGTTCAGGTGAACGATCAAAATGATGCGGCACAACAAAGGGTGCAAGTTCGAAGAGCAGCTGGTGTCAGAAACGTTAGGCATCGTATGCAGCAGAGAACTGCCAATTATGAACCTCCTGACGATGAAGATCGGGAAGTTGACGATAACAACGACGATACGAACAACAGGGTGGAATTGCCGGATCACAAGATAGGAACGAAGAAACGGGCGAAGCTGGCGGCCAAGGCTGAGAAGAAGATACAGAGGGAAGCGGCCGAACGTGAGAGAGAGGAGCGTAAGAAACGGGAGCAGCTGTTGCAAGAAGAGAGGGACAAACAGGCTGAGAAGGAACACGCGGAGGAGCTGCGAGCCGAAGAGGCGGAAAGAAAAGCCAGGGAGGAAAAGGAGAGGAGAGAGCACGAGGAATATTTGAAGATGAAAGAGAGTTTTAGCGTGGAAGAGGAAGGTTTCGATCAAGAAAGCAACGAGGAAGAGGAGAACTTGCTCCAAAAGTTTATCGCGTACATAAAACAGAACAAAGTATTGATATTGGAAGACCTGGCCGCACACTTCGGTCTGAAGACAGCCAATGTGGTGGATAGAATTAAAGAGTTGCAAGCGAACGGTAATTTAACCGGCGTGATTGACGACAGAGGAAAGTTTATTTACATTTCCGAGAATGAGCTTCATGATGTAGCTAAGTTTGTGCGACAACGCGGCAGAGTTAGCATTTCCGAATTAGTTGAGAATTCAAATAACTTAATTAATTTAACACCCGCTACAAGCTGTACCGTAACTAGCTAAAATATAAGTGTTGAGAAGTTTGTATTTCTTTTTGTATATCGGTTATTAAAACACACACAAAAAAAAAAGAACATTCTACGTCAATATTATACTTTCCATTCTATTTATAAACGCACGCATATAAATTATCGCTCTCTCTCTCTTTTTCTTCTTCGTATCTTCCGAACGAAGAGAAAAAAAAATGTTGCGATGCGCGATTTACATCCTGACGACACGCGGGATCGATGTTGCGTCAGAATCTAGTTTACCTTTAAGCTGCGAACTACTCACAACGAGATATTCTATTAATTTTTCCACGAGAATGTAACGTCCGTAATCCATTCCGCGATGGACGCGATCTTACTTTGTTGCGAAAATGAAAAAACTTGTCGCGCGACGTACTGCGCGTCGTATTCGACAAAAAACCAGTTCACGTGACAATCTGTTTTTTTTTGTTCAAACAAATGCTTTTGTTTTCTCTCGAAAACATGATTTCAACAAAAGGAGAACTTAAAAACACATTTTGTATAAAAGTAAATAAACAGAAATGTTGCGAAGGTGTGAACAGGGCGTTATTGAATCAGAGGTTGCGGGATATTTTGCGATGAAAAATTTTTTCGTGTGTTCGTCCCAGACGTTTCGATTTTATTTTAAATCTTCATCAGTGGGTATTTGTTTGAACTGTCACATCCCACACGGAATCGACGACAATTTTAGAAGTTGTTGCTTTGAAGGAATCGTCAATACTAAAAGTAAATAATAAATAAAATTTTGCGAACAAAAGTCCAAATTTCTTATTTTTTTCAGACAGATATTCAGAAATCGGTAAATTATCGCGTTCCTTCACCGGATGTATAATTTATAATGCGATTAACAAAACGAACGGACGGTCTTAATGCGATCACCGGTGATCATCATTATGTCCACCTAGCAGTCACGCTAGCTGTCCCCACTCGATCGTGGTTAATGAACGAAGAAGGGGATCGTCCGAGACTATGTAAGAGCGGCGGGATCGACAGCGAATCGGCAGTCTTCTTGGCGGTTCCGTGTAAACGATCGTTTCTCGAAAATCTCTCGAAAAATCTCTCGACAATAAAAATCCGGTCTTCCGTTCGATTTGTTTCGCCGCTCACCAAAGTGGTGACATTCCGATCATAATCGATCGAATTGAAGTGTTTCGCGGCGATTTGCTGAGATCTATGTGTCCATGAGGTGCAAGATCTTAGATTGTCAAGGCAACTCTCCAACATTCTTGCCCAGTGTCAGGTAAGCGACAGATAAAAAAAAAAAAAAACTGGTTCTGCATAACTTTGCTCGGTTTCTCTCGATCAATTGTCGGTTTTTCTTCTTGCAAAAATGATAATCGCACGCGGTGTCACGCGCGTGTCTGAGAGAAATCAGGTTTCTGGCACTTGTTTGTCCGCATATCGCCAATTGAAAACAGAATCAATATTATAAATAATTTTCTTCGGCGCTTTGTTAAAATTTGTTATTTAAATTCGTCGTGATTTGTTATTTGCTTAATTTGTTACTTAATCGTTATACTTCGCGATTTTGTATTCCTTACTCATGTTTCTCCATTTCAATGGCGTTTTTTGCAGGCTAGCGAAAAATCTTCGAACGCGCAAAGGAAGTCGACGAGGCAACTCTGGAAATCGGCTTGAATTATTAGTCTTAGTTCATTTGCATCACGTGCCGTAAAGTGTGACTGCAAGTATTTTTCACAAACACATATACACATATTTTTAAATACGTCGAAACACAGAAATAAAATAATTGTAAATCTTTATTCTGTACAGCAATAAGAGAAATCGCCGGTCAAACGAATTTTTTTCGATATCCGATACTTCGAATTCAACGCAAAAAAAAAAAACAAGTGATTAGCATTCGATATTCTTGAGCAAGACAAAGAGATGGGATACACCAACATAACCGGGTCCACGATTAAAGGACCTTACAACGCAATTACGTACGTGCGCGATTCTAGTTATGTATTAATTAATTTATTGTTAATACGTTGATCGCTCGGCATAGATTGAATATATTATTCTCCGCGGTTTGCCGCAATCTATCGCGCTAGCATAAACTTCTGCATTAACAAACAACGCGACAAACAACAGTTTGTTTTTTTACTTATATCTTTAATACAGTTGGATCTGTTTGTAAACAAATGCTCGACATGGAGTCTCTTTTGTTACTTTGTCTGCTAATTATTCCAGTCATTTTCACAGCAAACATCGAACTGTGCAGAGTATAGTTCCTTTCAGAGTGTAATATTATATATTTTTTTACGTATAAATTACTTATAAGCAGTTTTGTATATTGTTACTGTTAAAAACTCTCGCAAATTATTTGTAAAATCCTGCTAATTAGGTGAATGAAACCGTCAACTGAGTGACGTGGTTCCGGAGACTTTTACACGTCACCCGAATATGATTGACGCGGCGATCAACGTGTTTACTAAATAATAACATAAAAGTAAAACTAGTAATTTTATATAAAACTTGTATTAGTTTAGAAAAACTTTTTGTACAAGCCGATTTGAAAGTGGAATTAAACAATAACAATGTTATTTTATATTGCAGGAAAGATAAGGAAGGGCGTTCGTCATCGTCGACGCAACAACAACAACAGCAGCAGCAGCAGCAGCAACAGCAGCAGCAACAATCGCCACGAAAAAACGACAAATACGGCTCTTGGGGACCGATTTTCAAGAACAAGGAAAACTTCGTTAATATGCATAATTACTAATGTGTTTTCAGATCAAATATGACACGTAAACAATTTTACATAATTAAATTGCTAACAAAAAACATCTAAATAAAATATACATTCTCAGAAGACACAGTTTTCTTACGGATGTCACACGGATACTGGAATTGGATATTAAATAGTCGAGCAACATTCCGACAAACATTGCCTAGCTTGTAAAATGACGAAAAGCTAATAAAATGCACACAATGTCTTAAATTGTTTTCGTTTTGCGATGGACGATCCCCCCGTCTCTTACTAAGAGGAACGAGAGAAAACACAAAGCTCTCCGGCAACCGGAGCGACTCGATCGCATCCAGTTGTCGCAAAGGTAAAACGAACAAATGTCCACGGAGGGAAGCGCACACATGAGGGAGGAAAGCGCCGAGCTTTTTCTTGCATCGCGGGGCGAGTCGCGATGCAGTCGTACGGAGCGCGTTGCGTCGTTCGGAAGTTCCCGGAGGAAGAAAACGCAAGCTGCTCGCGAAACTCGACACACATCTAATCCGCGAATTATATACGCGATTCATCATATTTATTTATTTATTTATTTATTTATTATTTCTATTTCTATTTATATATCGCGTTGAAGCGCGAGCAATCCCAAAGAGAGAGCCAAATTCTGTCTTCGAATTTCTCGCGTGTCTAGTCAATCTGTCTTTTGTTCGTTTTTGCGTCGCTACGAAATTCTTATCCTGTTCGAAAAGTGCCGATCTTGAAATAAGTAAACAAGAAAAAAAAACTCTGAAGAGGAAAGTGTCGTCGTGTACAAGAATCTCGAAGAGAAGTCGACGGCCTGACGGCACTGCTATTTCGAGGCTGGAACGCATTGGTGAGCGCGCGACAGTCTATCGTCATCTTAAAATCCCGTAAATTTGCATACACACAAGTAAAAATTCACTAATTTTTATTTACAAAAGACATCCGACGTGTTGCTTATTATAGTTTTCAATTTTCGATAAAAAGACGCAATGTTCAAACTCAAATAAAAAAGTTGTGCAAAAAAAAAAATAAAATCGATTTTCGGCAAGAAAAAAACTGAAACGAATAATGCAAGAAACGCTGTGCAAGCAAATAACGCAAATAATAATCACGATGATATTAATTGCGACACGCACGTAGAACAAAATTTAAAAATTCAACGATTTCTCAAATTACTTGCTTAGGCGCATGACGCGGATGAAACTACTTAATTATTAAGGATACTTCGTATTTTCAAGGACATCAACTTGCTTTTGATGAGCCAGATATTATTACGACATGACGCGAGTACATTTGTAATTTGCAACGTGAAACGAGATCGGTGTCTTATATTTTTCTTTTTTTTTTTTGATGATTATTAGCAATGATAATCAACTTCTGGTTGAAACAAGTTTTGCATTGTGTATATTTCCTTATATTTAATTACACTTTATTACGTAAAACAGGAAAATCATCGAAGATCGTTGCACGCGCGAATAAACGTAAATATCTTGCTTTAATTCTCTCTCAGTTCCTCAAATGTTCAAGAAATTCCGCTTTAATATCTTCTCTTCCTTTTTCCTCTTCTTCTTCTTCTTCTTCTTCTTCTTCTTCTTCTTCTTCTTCTTCTTCTTCTTCCTCAATAACTTCCGCGATTTAAAGAACAAAGTGATCGATCGCAAGTGTTCGGATCCAGACCGGAAATAGAGCTTCCTTTTGGGTACGGCGGACGAATTCCTCGTGTCGACCGGCTTCTTCCTCCCCTCCCCGTCCAGTCGACCCTCGACCCTCGTTGTGTACCCATAGGTGTATATAACGCCGTCGCCGCTATTTTTGTCAGCATCCAACAGTAGTCACTCGTCAAGGCGGGGACATAGCTACCCTCTCGCAGCCAGGAAGCTGCGCGTTCGTTTTCGGCGACGTTACCCTCTCGGCTGCTCTCTTTCTCTCGTTCGTCGATCATTCCTCACCTCATTCTCTTTAAGACGCTATGTGCGCTACGTACATACATGGCTCTTATCTACTTTATGACTAAACCGAAGATGAAGAAATCAATCGCCACCTCGTTCTAGTCTAAATATATCTGTCTGTGAGATAACGACGACAATTTGAAGCGCGTCTTTGTCATCGCACACGATATTGCGATGGCAATGTAAATCACGTGGTCTTAACAAGAGCGACGTTTTGTTGCCGCGCGCGCAATTGCAAATAATCGCGCGACTTAATCATACGGGTGGCGGCGGGGTGTCGTACCGGAAGTTTCTTAACGCGTGACATTGGGATCGGCGCGCGCGCACGTTAATATATAGCTTCGCGCGAGAGACGGATACTTCCTGACTTCCTGACTCAAAGTCGACGGTAGTAGGGATGACACGCGCGTCTTATGGAGAACGGGGAATTAGAACAAGAACGAGTGGGAAGAGTTTGTTCAACTTGATACTCTCCGAGGCGCACGTCACCTTTTTCCCCAACTTCCTGCGCCGAGGGAGATACCCTTCGGCCGAAGATCGCGAGATCGCGAGGTCGTTCACCCTCTAACTCAATTTAACGCCACGTTTTGTAATTTGAAGTGTAATTACAAATTACGAAAAGAGAAGCTACTTTTTGATGCGTCATCGTAAGTAATGATTACAAAAGTTATATTATAAAATTTTGTTCCCACATTATCAACATTAACATTCTCTGATTAGTCTTCGCGAGAAGACGTTCAAGACGTGCGGTAATTCCGAATGTAATTCGTTTCGAAGAGAATCTTATTGACTCGCTCGTTTCGACAAATATATAAATTGTACGTATCACGTGAGAACTCGTTGACAGGATCCGAAGCGAAACGGATGCTATTATATCCTGTCCGGTATACACTGTCCCACGTTACTTTTCATTTTTACAATCGCGCAAATTATTTCGTTCCGCGAACGAACTTAATTACTCAATTCGCTCCCGTTTGTGACTCGCGGCTTTAGCTTTTTGTTGTAACAACGCGGGTTTATCCGCGCGGTGTCAATTTCGGCGACA